GTCGGGAGATCTTGGTGGCCATGATAACAATGTGACATCATTATGTTGAAAGAAGTCTATTGTGACTCTTGCAAAATGTGGTCGGGCATTATCTTGTTGGAAAGTTGGATCTGCCAGGATGTCAAGATAGGGTAAAAGATGGGGTTCTAGAACTTCGTGGATATAACGCTGCGGGTTCATGTTACCTCTGATGAAGATTAAAGGTGACCTGGAACCATAAGCTATAGCACCCCAAACCATAACTCCAACAGTGTGATGAACATGTCTTTCAACAAAAAACTGTGGATTCCTCCTTTCACCACGTCGCCTTCTAACCCTGGCACGACCATCGTGCATGCCTAAACAAAATCGAGACTCGTCACTAAAGACAATACTGTTCCATTCCTGAACCCAGAGTGACCGTTGTCTGCACCACTCAAGGCGATTACGTCGGTGTTCTCGAGTTAAAGGGAGGACCCAGAGTGGCCGGTATGAAAACAAGCCAAAACTTCTCATTCGTCGGTAAACACTTCGCATGCCAATAGGTCTTCCGTGTTCTGCAAACCATTCATTTGCAATGGACCTGGTAGTGGAGAAACGGTCCCTTAAGGCCAATAATCTTAGGCGGCGATCTTCACGGTCTGTTGTTCTACGGCGGCGTCCAGTGCCCCTTGCTCTTTGCGTACGGCCTTCTCGAAGCCATGCCTGACAACACCTAACCACAGTGTCTACACTTCTTTGCACTCTAGCTGCAATTGCCCGAAAAGAAAGTCCAGCTTCCCGAAGTCCCACTATACGGCCCCTATCAAACTCACTAAGTTGACGAAATCGTACAGGTCTCCGTACTCTAGGCATCGTAACCGATCGTAAGGGATGTCAAGAACCAAAATCCGCCAACGTTGATTCTTTACTGCGGCTGAAATATTTATTTTTAGAGCGTTATTGAATTAAAAAAAAGCAGTATAAAAACCGGAATGTCCAACTGATAAGGCTGAAAATTTTTTCACTTGTTATTTACAGTAAGATAAATACATTCACCAACGTTTATTAAAATAAAACCATTTAAACTGGGTGTTCGGATTTATATGTCACTTAGTATACAATACTTCAGCCAAGAGCAAAGGTCCTACGGACTGCTCTGACAGACAATGACGAATAGAAAGTCATTGTTAACCGCATTCAAGGCCACTGAACAGTTTCTAAATTTACAAAAAAGAGCTTGACTCATACTATTCGTCATTGTTCGTCAGACTGTCCTAGTTATGTTCTATTTATCTATTTGATGAATGGACAAAAACTACAGCATACAGCTAGTAGAAATTGAATTTTTGGAAAACTGGAGAAGCCTAAGTATTTCAGCGCATATACGAATATAGGATAGTGCATAATTTATAACATAATTTATAATATGTGGTTATCAAGGTTGATTTATTAAAATATCATATTGAATTCTTCAGCAATTTGTGATGATGATTTATATAATATTAATGTAAATACCAAGATTAATTAAAGTAATTTATATATTAATGCCACAAGAACTCACAAGTGACTGTACAAGTAACAGGTAAACATTAATTAATTATTCCCTCATAATTTGTTCTAATTAAAAATATGTGAGTCAAGTAGGTACAAAAATAAACCGATTTTTATCATAGTACCAAGTCCAATGTGTTGCAACTACCTTGATTTGATCTTCAGTTTTATTTATCTGGTTGTGCAATTGACTATTGTAGATAAAGCTTGATCATTGTGTGTGTCTAATGACAATACAGCGATAAGGCTCATGAACGATTTTTGACATATAGGTTGAACAACACTGCCTTAATCAGGTAGCTGCCATTTATTGACTTGGTCAAGGTAAAATATTAGCCATATGTGTTGACTAAAAATGTTAACACTACAGGCGAAAAGATTTATACTAAGTGACATACAAAATGCAACACCCAGAAGTATTTATTGAACTTTGATAAACGTATTTGCTATCATGGAAGTATACTATATATGACTTTTTAGAAGTATCCAGAGCAAATCTGCTTCAGTGGTTTTCATCAACCGTTTATAGGTAAACTGTTCCTATTTCCAATGTTAATTATGTGACACTGTACATATCCAGAAATAGACTGATATTAGAAAACCTCAAATGACTCAAAAAATAGGATAAATGTGCCAGTCGTCGGACAGTTTAGACAAAAGTGAAATCCAAAGTGTAATTATGAACTTTGAGTTCATAATAACACAACTAATGCTTTAGGAGGTGATATATATGTTTTTAACTTTTGACCAACAACAAATACATTGCTTATAAATATTCCTGTAATTTTATAAAAAAAATAAAAAAGAAGATGCTTAGACAGAAGGTGATACATTTCATAGAATAGAACCTCCTCAAAAACTGAACATATGATTACACTAATTCATTGAAACAATCAAATCACACAGACACAGCCCTCCTAAGCTACTTAGGGGTCCCTGGGCCCATAGCAAGCTCAGAGGCTGAGGTTGAAAGGAACTAGGGCAAAGCGAAATCGAGGGCCCTATTTTGCTGTTGTGGGGTATTCAGACATTTTGATAATTGTGCATGTAATTGAAGGGTGTATGGGCTGTCAAGCTGACAGTGAAAATCTGATAAGTACAAAAAAAGGGAGTACATTTTGTCTGCACCCTATTCCAACAATTAGACTGTCAAAAGTGGAAAATCAGGATCTTATCTAGGAAATATAAGTTAATTATTTGAATTACTTTAGTACACTACCTATGAATGAATAAAGTGTCAGATCAATAAGTTAACAGAGCATAAGAAAATAAATGTTATTTATGAACATTCTGTTCACCACCTTCATGCAAAGCTAGTTTTGCATCAACTTTACATCTAATACAGGAAAAAAATATCTGCAATATTCAATTTGACCCGTTTTACCGAGTTGCATCAATCTACATAATAAAACGCAAAAACAGATCAGATACTTCTGTAAGCTGAAATCGTGCCAACAGGTCGACAAATCATACTAGCCACACGTGTTTTTTAAATACCTACTGACGCAAAATGACACATGATCACAAACCGGCACAAAATTGTCGGCATTCATTATAACATTGGATTGGAAATTACACATTACAGGATCTTATATATAATGCTTGCAATTACTGACAATGTTTGTTTGTATCCAAATAATGATTATAACTCTACAAAGTGCAAAAATAAATAAATAACAAAAGATCTAGTAGGTAAATGAGAACAGAGTGTCAAATTTTATTGCTTACCTCTGATAGGAAACGGTTTGGTCTGGACGGTTTCGGTATTTGGCGGTAGCAGCCTTTTGGTTTCCGGGGACATCACACTGGGACATGATTTAACGTCACTGATTTTGCAGTTATTGTTTTTGTACGGTCCCGCACCGATGCAAGTACTATTCCGTACTCGCAAGGACCCACTCAAAACGTCCAAACCACTGCTCATTTCGGCATCAATTGTCAAAAACCGCGATCTTCACCTCACGCAACAGCGATCAGCTGTCAAGTTAAAATTGAAACCGCAAAAAATCGCGTGAAACTGGTACTTTCGGGATGAAGTAGTGTACCACGCGGTACTACGACAAGACAAATTGTGAGTAGATCGTCCAAGAGAGATTTTTAGAATAATTGTTTGAAAGATGAGGCATGGAGGGGAATCAGGAATCTGCGAGATATGCGAAATATCTGACATCGGCGCACCAAACAGCCAATCACAACGGGTTATGTCATCGTCCTTCGGTTATCAGAGGATCTAGCAGTGCATCTGATAATTACCAGGGATGTTTGATAATTTCTAGTGGTTGAAAGTACTATTATCTTTATCCAGAGTGACACATTATTCAATAGGACAATTTAATTGGATTATCACTGCGGAATCTCTCGTAATACAAAATAAGCCGTGTCATCTATATTGGAATTTGCACAACCTCTACTGAAGAATAGTTCCATTTAGAAGTAGAAAGTAGCGTACATTCAGATACAAAGAAGACAGTCTAGTATCAATTGACGAGCAAATGAGTCGACAGTAACTTACTCAAATAGAAATTTATATAAAGGACGTATAATTAAATTAAAAACATATTTTTCTATGATGTCGTGTGATTAATCGACTATACTATACTAACTCCCAGCTCGTTTTGTATGGATCTTTGGAAATCCGATGTACACGATGCATACTCGTAGTAGTAAAACATTGTTGACAGATTTGATCAATTTCCCATCATAATATAATTTTACATCTCAAACTCGGATCTCAACTACCATTCCAACTATCTTGACACTGAGGAAGCAATATGCCATTGTAGTAGGCAAAACCTAAAATTGCAATAGCAGTACATCTGCCAACAAAAAACAAAATAAATTTTCTTAGGATGCTAAATCACCTGTCTAGATTAGATATGGAACATAAATATACTTAGTCGCATCGTGAGTATGTAGAATGCTATACGATCCGAGTAAACAGATTGACTATCACCATCTGCAGAGCTTGTGTGCCATAAGGAAAAATTTATAATGCGTAAGCCAATTCTTAGCGCGCTGTCATACACACACATGACACATGCTTTAGGTGGCAGAGTGTCGTTTTAATTCTCTTTATGAAAATACCTCGGAAAATTTAACCCATAATGTCGACATTGTAAGTTGCATCTTCAGGCTGTTTTATACGGACGATCAACAGAAAAAACTAGCTGCCATTGACAAGCAAGTAGTGACAAGTATAAATGTGGATGACACGTACCATTGTCGATGGTACGTGGTACTATCCAAGGCGTTGGGCACACAAGCAAGCGTCCATGGATATATAAAAGTTGTTCCTGTAGATTTACTCTGATCCGCCAAAAACCGTAAAAATACACAAACACTATTTTTTGTTGATCCTACATGAAGCTTGCTAATCTTTTAGGTATTCAACAGGCAACGCTGCTGCTCTAGTTCTTTTACTACGAGTACACATCGAGTATGCAAAATCCAACGTAGGTTGTCATTTGAAGTCGTTTTACGTTTTGTCACTTTGACATTTCTTGGTTAGGTCTTTCGACTGTTCGTGTCATTGTGAAAGTAAAAATGTCAGCAAAAATCAACTAAAAAGCGTCCACACAGAAAACTTTATAAAATTGCTGAACGAAGTCGAGTCCCCTCAATACTCCCCAACAGACTTCCAGCCATCAAGATGCACAGATCCTTCACTGCACCAAGGATGTAATATCCCGTTTTCCTGACGTATATGATGCGCTTAGAAACATGATAGAGATCCTGCAAATGTTTTTATTTCTATTCAAGTCTAAATACAGACGGAAATTCTATGTTAAGGGCCTATTGTGGTGTGCTACTTTCTTCAGTGTTTTGTCCATAGTTAAAGCTAAGTGTAATGAGACTTCATGTGGGAATGGGGTTTGCAGGAATGATACATGTGTGTGCTATGATGGTTGGCAGGGGCCCCAATGCCAGTTTTGTGGAGGGAAAGTCAGGTAAATGCCCAGCACCATCCTTTTCCTTTGTACTTGTATCTATCAATATGGCCTAGTTTTTTAGTGAACTCATTTCCTTCAAATTATATTTCAGGTGGTAAGTAACCAGTAATCCTTATATTATTCCATTTTTGTTCCTTACATAGTTTTTGAAGTCCCAATATTTGCCCTCATTTCTGGAAAGTGTGCTTTGTGCAATACATTTGATTGATACACAAATTTTGTCATAGCAGTATAGCTATGAGGTCATTAGCTCTACCATTTGTCTTTTTTTTTGTATAGGTATTGAGCTCCAATTTTTGAGATAAATATATTACCTAGATTCTTCATATTGTCAAAATTATTAAAATATATATATACATGTTACAAGAAATCTTATTTGAAGGACAGAAGTTCAGGGCCATAGACTTAAAAAAAAACATAGTTTGTGACTGATTTATAATTACTTTCATCTACTGATCAATTGTCCACAATAGTTTGACATTATATTCAATTGATAGTTTAGCATTGATGTGGTTTTTTTTAGTGTTTTTTAGTTAGCGTATCATTTTCATTATTAGGTAACTTGATATGTATGTCTAGGCTATTTATTGTTGCTTTATCAATTTTTGGGGAGTAAATAATCACACTAATTTTATGATACATTGTTGTATCTGAAAACAAATAATGTATCATTCTTAATCATAAATAAATGATAGTAAGTTGGGAGGGAGGCATTTACCATTTTCTACAAGTCTGAAATAATGAGGACATTTCTTATTACACACTTTTGAAATTTTAAAGCTATTTTAGAAATTACAAAGTATTTCCTCTATTTGATCTAATTATAACATAAATATGATTTTATGACTTTTTCATAATCATATTGTATACCTTTTGCAATTTGCATTTACATATAAAGTTATTGTTAATATATTTATAGTATACACAGTGAATATGTTCTAGCAAAAAAATTAAAAAATGTTAAAACATACAAGTAAACTGCTATCAGTCTGTACAATGATGTACGTCAATATGATTTTGCAGTTTTTAAACTCTGCTTCACTTGCCATTTATTGGTATTATATAATTTTATTACATTTGCAATATTTCTTATGAGTCTCACAAATGGTCAAGGGCAAACAAGTGTGGCTATTGTTTTGTTTCTTTTACAATAAAATGTCTGTGGAAGTTTAAATTAAATTATCATTGGCATAGGCACTTCATACATTCAAATATTCTGAGTAATGGCAGAGATAATAAATAAAGAATGTAACTTATAACTGGTTAGTGTTAGTTAAGAACATGATATTAATCTGGCTTTTATTATATGGTAAATAGCTTTTTAACTGGAAACAAGTAGAAATTTGGATTTGCTATGTCATCGATGAAAGCTTATTTAACTCAAAGCAGGCACAAGTGTCATTGAGAAATAAGTCTTTTCAAACAAAATTTATATTCAACATTTTGTGTAGATGGAGTGTTACACTGTCTTATTTTGAAAACATATAGTATGTTTAGGTTCCAGTTCCCTTATTGGGGCCAGCAATTGAAACCTAGTAACTAGAAATGACTTGGAAATCCCAACTTCAATTCTGTCCAGAACAAAAAACACAAGTTTTAAACTTCATTTTGAAATCCAATCTGAAGTTTATTGAACTAAGAACTGAATATACAACTGCCTCAGAAGGAGGTTTGTATTTGTATGTAGACAAAAAATTCTATTTCACTGGCTACAGTCCAAATTCTTGGATTCTTTTTTGTACAAAAGGATGAATTTAAATCAAATTTATGTTTAATGGCCTATGTGACACTGCTTATATTAAAATCATATGAATACAAAATAACAGTAGGACACTAATGTCACAGCCACAATAAACTAAATAATACAAACATAATGTAGAAAAAATAACAACATAAGCAAACAGATTAAAAAGAAATGAATAAATAACAAATAAACAAAGAAAATGATGGATGAACAGATTGAAAACTGATTAAAAGTAAATTATATGCAATTATTCCATTCACAAGTCTGATGATAAGTATTCTTCACTGCTGTAAAAAGTGTTTGCCATAAATAGACTTTTAACAGGGAGTTCTTCCAAACTGCCAAAGTCTCCAGAACATAAAACAGTGCTTTAATATTTTATTGACTAAAAGTCAATATGATCTCTCCAAGTGAGCCTTGAATCCATCTTAACACCAAGGAATTTAGTGATCTGAACCTTGTTCACCCTAGTTCCGTATATTCAGGTCAATATCACAATATGTCTCTTGCATACAAAACTGCATAAGATATCTTCTGTTCATTAAGTACTAGCCCATTCATATCACAGTATCTCTCCATGTGATACTGAGCTGAATTGGATCCTTAGTTTTAACCCCCATCGTGGTATCATCAGCAAATAACCTAACAAAGTGCAGTTCCATGAAAATGGGCACATGATTGATAAACAACAAGAACAATAGGAGCCCTAGTATGCTTCCTTGCGGAACATCACTTAAAATAACCTTGGTGCTGGAAGACAATTTACATCTACCATTATTAAACTCTTTGTTCCCTGTTGGATAGATAACTTTCTACCCAATTTAAAATGATCCCTCCAATTCCATAGTTATTAAGCTTGGAACCATGGGTTAAATCTACTCGTATAAAGAGACTCTCTATTCAAGACAGCCAGAGTCAAAGTCACACAAAGACAATTCTGCATTTTTTGTTGATAAGTTTTTCTGGAATCCAAATTGCTGCCTTTTGATGATATTGAATTTGTAAGCAAAGTTTATCAGTTTATTGCATCTTTTTTATAGAGTGGTATAACAAGTGCTTCTTTCAACATATGAGGAAATATGCTTTCCACAAAAGACAGATTTAATAGTGCTTCCTGAGGTTTTACAATTAAGTCTATGAAATTCAATAGGAATGAGCAAGCTATTTTATTGGAGCCTGCTGACTTTTTTTTGGCGACATGTTCAGCAAATGGACTGTTCTGTCACTAAATATTATTGTATAATTATTACTATTTTCCAGACTGGGCACATCGACAGGAACAATTCACGATGGCCTCGGTAACTACTCATTGACGTCAAAATGTAGCTGGTTGATTGATGCGCCGAATTCGACTATCACACTGCATGTTGAGCAGTTTGCAACAGAGTGTGGCTGGGACCATTTGTATATTTTTGACGGAGACAGCGTGGATTCACCGTTATTGGCTGTTTTTAGCGGTAAGATCGCCATATCGCCTATTCATCAAAACGCTATTAGCAGATCGGAATCTATTCAATGCAAAGTTGTAAAATATATTTTTTTAAATGCAATGTCTTCTATCCACAAAGAGTTTTCGACCATTATGTGTTGCTCAAAACTTTTGATATCAAATCGCTTGAAGAACGCCGAACTATTTGCGCGCTGTCTTTTTTTATCCAGCTTACCCCACAATAAACTTTATTGTATATTTTAAGTTACATAGGTTTTAATGTTCCTCGCTTATTGTGCTACAATTTAGTGTGATTTCTGCCACACCAATGTTTTGTCCATTCATAGTATGGGTACTGAACAGTATTCAATAGTATTGGTAACTGCTACATATTTAATGACACTAAATCTCGCGTCGACGAACTTTATCTTGATGAGGTTGTAAGCAAGTATATTATTGTTGATTATTTACTTATATATTGTTATTCTTATCTATGTATTTGTTTACCGGGCTTTATTTATATTTATTGATATTTCCTGCAATTGGGTGTGTATGCCTGTTGGAAATAACGTATTACATATTATCATTATTATAAAAAATAGGGCTAGCAGATGAGCAACACGTATATAGTGTCCCAAAATAACGTATTAATCTCTCATATGCATACAACGATTGATTAATGTATTATATATGAAGATAGCCAACCTAATCTATATTTCCACATCCAAAAAATTATCTTCATACATAAAATGAGATACCATAGCGCCATCTATGAGAATTTCTCACAACTATGTTTATCGTGACACCGCACTAATTAGAAATCTACATCATAGATGGCGCCGTAGCCAAATATTAGCTATATTAGTGATGCACTTTTTTTAAAAGGCCGAGTACCGGGTACTCATTGAAGTGATTTACCATGGATTATTTCAGCTACTGTTAGTGGTATTAAGATTATATTTGCCTTTTTTAAGGGGCTTTATTCTTAGAATTGATTTATTTATCCAGGAAATTGAGGCACCACAAAAAAAATAGTTGTACAGCTTAAACTGTTTCTTGTGAGTGAAGCGTCATAGTATTTGAGGTATTTTCATGAAGAATTTTGAAACACTATGTGTTTTTCACTGAAAATCCAGCAGCTACAATCTTGAGTAAAAATTGGAATTTGAATAAGTTTTAGATTTAATTCAGATCTTGATACTGAGACTCCATTATAATGGGTGATTTTTTTGCTAGTATCTTTTTGGCAACACTGTTTTTGACAGATGACGCGTGAATCGTGTCTTGTGTCATTGTCAAACTTGTTTAGTTTGGTCTATAATTTAACCATGAATCGACTTACAAACGAACAACGCTTGCAAATTATTGAATTTTACTATCAAAATTCATGCTCGGTTAAGAGAGTGCATCGAGCACTGTTTCCAATTTATGGGCAATTTGGTCGGCCTACTGAGGGAGCTATTCGGAAGCTTGTGACTACACCCTACTGAGCGAGGGCCGTGGCAAATGCTTGTTCCGGAAGTTGTTGTATCCAGTATACAACTTCTTCCCGTCCAAGTGATTGTCCACGCGTTAAGGACTACCTCAGTACCGATTGCCGGACGTAAACTCACTCCACTCTCGGAATGTCCGGGTGGAGGGTGGGCTCGAGGGAACAACATCGAAGATAAAATTTGTTTTTCGAACATCTGCGGGATCAACAGCAACATTGATGCTGTTCATCACTACCTGCAATCCAATCGTCCCGCCGTGCTTTTCTTGGCGGAGACAAAAATCTCAGAGACTGCACCGATTAACCATCTCAACTTCCCAAACTACGAGGTGCACTCCAATCTGAGAAAGAACGGGGGAGTTGTGGCTTTTGTCCGCAGCAGTCTTTCCTGCTCCAGGGATCTTTCTTTGGAATCAGACCGGAAGGTCATTCTGTGGCTTCGCCTCAACTCCAAAACATCACCCAAATTTATTTGCTGCCTTTATCGCTCTCCCTCGAACCATAACTGGGATGACCTACTCGAATACCTCGCCGTCCAGATCGACTTCCTGAACATCAATCACCCCGTTTCAGAGGTAGTTCTTCTCGGTGATTTCAATGCCCATAATGAGCTTTGGTTGGGCTCAAATAAGACCGATGCAGCAGGTCGTGCAGTCGAAGCGTTCGCTCTTACTCAAGGGCTGACCCAGCTGGTGACGAGCCCTTCTTTTTTCCCCCGCGTCTCGTCACACGCCAGTAGCCTGCTAGATCTCTTTCTGACCACGCATCCTGCCCCTTACAGCACTGCTGTCCTGTCCCCCCTGGGTAACTCAGATCACGGTGTTGTGGAGGTTAGGTTTCGGTCCGAAGCCGCTGTGGTAGCAGAAACTCGCACAGGCCGCAAAACTTGGCATTACGGACATGCCGACTGGGAGGGGCTCAGAGACTTCTTCTCTAGCTTTCCTTGGAGAGATGTCTGTTTCACTGACGCGGATGCATCGACTGTCTGTTCTTCAATAACCGAAATTATCCACGTCGGAATGGAGGAATACATCCCTCACACAGTGAAAGCTCCTAAAGCAGGGTCCAACGGCTGGTTCAACAAATCGTGTGACACTGCTCGCCAGCAGAAGATCAAGGCCCACAGAACCTACTTACAAAACCCCACTGTAGAGAACAGACAAGCCGACGTCGAGTCCAGAAACAAATATAACGAAGCGGTTCGCAATGCCAAAAACCAGCATGATATAAAAGTTAGGCACAGGGTAATGTCGCAGCGCAATGGCAGTCGGTCTTTCTGGACGCTGGCCAAGCAGATTGAAAAGAACTTCTCACACAGTAGCCTTCCACCACTTACGTGTCAGGATGGAACTATTGTATTCGACTCAAAGGCCAAGGCGGAAGTGCTAGCCAAGATCTTTGCTGCCAACTCCACCATGGACGTCCCCACCAACGCCCAAGTGTGCCGTCAATTCAAAGGGTTCCCCACACTATGCGGGAGGTAACATTCAGGCATAAGACCGTAAGACGAGTGCTCTTGTCGCTCGACATCAACAAAGCTTCTGGTCCGGACTTGATTCCTGCCATTGTACTGAAGAGATGTGCAGCGGAGCTTGCTCCAGTTCTTTCGCGTCTCTTCCAGATATCTTATGAATCCGGCACCTTCCCAGAAAACTGGAAATTTGCTCATGTACAGCCCATCCCAAAAAAGGGATCTAAAACCGACCCTTACAACTACAGGCCTATAGCTCTGCTTTCTGTTATAAGTAAAGTGATGGAGAGGTGCATAAATCGCGAGCTTCTGGACTACCTCGAACGTCACAGCTTGATTAGCGACAGGCAGTACGGTTTCCGGCACCAACGATCCACAGGGGACCTCCTAGCTTACGTCACGCAACTGTGGAGTAAACTCATCCAGTCTCATGGTGAGGCTCATGTCGTTGCTCTTGACATCACGAAAGCGTTCGATCAGCTGTGGCACGCTGCCCTCTTAAGCAAACTTCCATCCTACGGCCTCCCAGAAAAGCTTTGCAGATGGGTGGCTGACTTTATCTCTGGCCGCAAGATATCCGTCGTAATTGACGGATTCTGCTCTTCATCCCACAACGTCAACGCCGGTGTTCCCCAGGGATCGGTCTTGGCTCCAACACTGATTCTCTTACATATCAACGACCTCCTTTCCTGCACGATCAACCCAATCCACAGCTTCGCTGATGACAGCACTCTACGTGCAGGAATTCAGAGTGTCAAGCCGATCTCTGCCGCTGAGCTGGAAAAAAGAAGACTAGCGACGACTTCTTCTCTGACAAGAGACCTGGAGGCTATCACTGCTTGGGGACGCAACAATCTTGTACAGTTCAATGCTTCCAAAACACAGTACTGTACTTTGACGAACAAAAAGCGTCCTAGCGCTCATACAGTTTCGATGGACGGTCGAGTTCTACCAAAGAGCTATTCATTTCGGCTGGTCGGAGTCCAGATCACCGAGGACCTGATCTGGCACGAACACATCTCTTCAATAGCTGCAGCTGCTGGGAAAAAGCCAGGCTTTTGTTTAGGGCTAAGAAGTACTTTTCTCCGCATGACCTTCTCACTCTATACAAGGCCCAGATAAGGCCTAGCCTCGAGTATTGCTCACACATTTGGGGTGCTGCCGCCCCGACTACATTGTCCATGCTCGATGCTGTCCAGAGGAGGGCGGTCCGACTGATCGATGACTCTTCTCTAACAGACAGTCTCGGGACTCTTTCGCATCGGCGGGTCGTCGGCGATCTAGCTCTTTTCTATCGCTACACCAACGGGCTTTGCTCCTCAGAGCTCTCTTCTATGATGCCGCCGCGCGATGTGCCTGCCAGACAGACCCGCCTGACTTCTTCGTCCCATCCTAACCGTGTCAAACTTCGTACATCCAGAACTGGCCGATACGACCGCTCCTTTGTCCCGAGGGTGTCTAGATTGTGGAACAATCTACGGGAGGAAGCTTTTCCCAGTTCATCATAGCAGCCGCGGTGTTCCGGCATTTAGGCTTCTGCCTGCGCGGCTGTTTCGATATAAAAAAAAAAATCTCGAACCCAGTTTACATTATTGGACATTAAACCACCAACACGCAGACGTAGAGTGAGGACTGAAGAAAATATTGCGGCTGTATCCGCCAGTGTTAGTGATGACCGTGAAATCTCGATTCGCCGCCGTTCGCAGCAATTGGGCCTCTGTTACTCCACTACGTGGAAAATTTTGCGACAGAATTTGGGTGTAAAACCTTATAAGATACAGCTGGTGCAAGACTTGAAGCCACACGACTTCCTACAACGTTTCCAATTTGGTGAATGGGCGCTGGGAAAGTTGGAGGAAGATCCACATTTTTATCGAAAAATTGTGCTCAGCGACGAAGCTCATTCCTGGTTGAATGGGTACGTTAACAAGCAAAATTGCCGCATCTGGAGTGAAGACCAGCCAGAAGCATTGCAAGAGCTACCAATGCATCCCGAAAGAATCAATGTTTGGTGTGGATTATGGGCCGGTGGCATCATCGGGCCGTACTTCTTCAAAGACGACAATGGCCGGAACGTAACTGTGAATGGCGAGCGCTACCGTGCGATGATAACAAACTTTTTTTGTCCAAAATGGAAGAGCTGGACTTGGCTGACATGTGGTTTCAACAAGACGGTGCCACATGCCACACCGCACACGAAACATTGGCCCTATTGAGAGGTGAGTTCGGTGAACAGTTTATCTCACGTTTGGGGCCCGTCAATTGGCCGCCTAGATCGTGTGATTTAACGCCGTTGGAATATTTCTTGTGGGGCCATGATAAGGCTAATGTCTACAGGGATAAACCAGCAACGATTGACGCACTGGAAGCCAATATTGAAGCATTTATTCGTGAGACACCGGCCGATATGTTGGAGAGAGTGTGCCAAAATTGGACCTTGCGCATGGGCCATCTAAAGCGGAGCCGCGTCCAACATTTACATGAAATAATCTTTAAATATTAAATTATATCGACCGTTCTATCGACTCAAATAAAGATTTAATCGTTTTTTCAAATTTTTTGTGTTTTTTTATTAAAAATAAAATCCTATACCTCTTAAAAAATCACCCGTTAGAAGCGAGCTCTGCCTTTTTTGCAAGTTTCCAATCATGCCTCTTGGTGGTGTAATTTGGTTTCTTGGGATTTGAAGACTGGATCGTGGTGCAATGATGAGATTTTGTATATTTGAATATTAGAATAAATTGTAAATAAATATGTGGTTTTGTTTTTATAGGTTTAATGTATGAAGGCGCATATAGGGTAAGGCGGGTCCCAGAGGTGGTAGCTCAATCAGGCTCTGCATTGGTGCATTTTTTTAGCGACGATGCTTACAATATGAGCGGATTTAACATCACATATAGGCTGGATTCTTGCCCTACAACAGTAAGTTCATTACGTTCATTTAACAAAGAAAACAGTAAAATAAAACATAATTTGGAATGGTTTTGTTAAACCTCCTTAAACGGCTTTTTTGAGTATTTGAATATTTTACAATTGTTATTTTTCAGGTGTCAGGTTTGAACTGTTCAGGTAATGGAATATGTATAGACGGTGTTTGTACTTGCAATGGCGGCTGGGGAGGCTCAGCTTGTCATTTAGAAAATTGCCCTAATAACTGTGGAGCAGCAGAGGAGAGGGGCATATGTGAACCTGAAAGAGGATGTTTCTGCTACGGTAGTAACCGGTAAGCATTTTTTTTTACTATTTATTGAATAAACAACATTCTTAATGACAAAGTTAACAAAATTACATATGTGGATCGCAAGTAAATGTAGTGCTTTTCCGATGTTGTAACGAATTATTCTTACAATAAAGAAAATATTTGCTAGTTGAGTAAGCAATTAGTATACATGATTAGTAAAATTTAATTTATGATCAATGGTCAGTCCTAAAAATTTGATGGTATCTGTTTTGTGTATTAAATCATTATGTAAATTCATAAAACCAATGGGGTATTCAAATATCATAATTTGGTCTTACTAATATTCAATTTTAATTTTTCACCTACTTTCATCCATATCTGTGTCTTGTCAAAGTATTGTGGTTATCGTCAGCAAAAAACTATGATTTACCATTTATGTTTAAATTTATTAAATCGTTAATATATACTACAAAGAGGATCGAACCTAGTACTGGTCATTGAGCTACCACCACTTTAATATTTTACTTATTTGAAGTATAATATCTTAAAACTCTTTCAATTTGAAATCAATTATTTAAAACTTAGAAAATATTGAGTGAAGTTCTAGTACAACCATATTTGTTTAATTTTATCAGTAGTATATCATGATTTACAGAATCAAAAGTTTTGCAATGGTCACAAAAAAAATGTAACCTGTTTATCGTTTATAACAGTAATTAAACTTACGGGTCTCTAATTTATAACATATAAATTTTTTATATAGTGGGGATGACTGCAGTCAGTTGGCCAGTGATGGTTACTGGGAGACAGTTACACCTCAAGGCTTCACACCTCCTGGCTCTGCATCTCATGGAGCAGTGGTTTGGAGGGATTCCATGTATGTGATAGCTGGAGAGAGTTATGGCAGAGGATCGTTGTTGTATGTCTATGATTTTAATGGTGAGTCCAAATAGGTATAGGATTGCATGGATCCTTTAAATATGTACACAGGAAGTTGGGACTTTCGTTTTCAGGCACAACTACGTTTGAAATGACAAAGTCATTGTGTGGTAAAATAGCAGAATGAAATAAAACAAACTGATGAAGGAGTACTCAATACATAATTCGTGTTGACATCGTTCTAACAAAATAACGTGTTATATCACAGCCGACGTCAACTACGAGCCGTGATGAAAGAAAGGCAACACCGCGCTCGGACGGCATGGTAGTGCTACCTGTGAACGTCGGCCGCCAGCGGCTGTGTGCTCCGTCTCCGTGTAACGTTCAAGAACTAAATTTAATTTTGGAAAAGAGGACAGTTCGATTCGATACAAATCGTCTGAATATGAAATAGCTCTAAAAAAATTAAAAATACGAAATAATCGTGATGTATATGAGTCGCTAATGCTGTTAACCTAATTAAAAGTATTTAGTTTACGTTTTTTGGTGTCAGCACACTGTGTTCCAACAGGCCCAGCTTGGAAATGTGGAGTTACCTGTTGTTTTTAATACATTTGCTTTCAGTTTTACTGTTATTTTTCAATTTTACATAATCATTCAAAATTATGTTTGAAAAAATAGACAAAAGCTTAGATAAAATATCTGCATAATTGCGGCCACAGATGCAAGTTGAATAAGATTCACTGTATATAAAGTCAGACTGAATGCTGAGCAAGGTTAACTGACACAAAATAAATTTTTGATTATTGCTTTTCAAGAAGAAAATTTCCAATCTATCTACATTAATAATAGATTCAAAAATGGCATACATATGGTAGAATATGATTGGTACATAACTGGTTGGAACTCACAGTCCTCCTCTTTGCAAATGATCAAAATAAACATTTGTTGTTAATGAACCTTTTTCTTTAACTATTAGCGATTTGCATATCTCGCAGTTTAGGTTTTTAGAGATAGCGTGTGAAGCATATCCAGATATATAAGTCTTAGTACTATCCTCTATGTCTCAAATACTTCATTGAATATATCCAAAACTTCAGGATTTTGTTTGGTATCCAAGAAATCAAAATTTTCTTGAGTTTCTAAGCAGTTTTGGAACCTTGTTTTAATTTCTGCTAAAGAAAATGACGATTTCTTTTCATTGAAAATATGCTTCAGCCGTATTTTCTTTTCAGCATTTAAAATTTCATCATATGACACATTGTAATTGCAGCCACATAAAAGTCTATAATTGCCAAATCGTTTTTCTAAATTATCAGTGGTGAATGTTCCAGGCAATACCTCGGGCAATACATACTCAATATCAAATTGATTAAATGTATATTCAATTATATTAAGTAGAGTCAGCGTGCTTTGATATAGAGCTGTATACGTTTCTGGTGTCAGGTGTCCATTATTATTCTCTAGATTATGCCATTTTTCTAACCATATCAGGAATTTTTTTAAAAATTGTACTCTGTAATCATATTTATTTGTAATAGGCTTACAAAATTCGTTTCGCTTCAATTCTCCTTTTATTACACTTGTATTACTGACAATATAGCACCAATTCCTGATTATTTCCAAAAAGTGTGCAGCATCATTAAACTTTAATTCTTTCATAGCAGTTATTGTTGAGTGATGCAATAAATTATCTACAAAATTTACATTTTGCCTTTCAAATGAATTTGGATGCAATGTTTTATAATTTAATTTATATGCTTTCTTAACTACAGCTTCTTTTTCCAATTGATATACAGCACGAATGTTTTCAAATTTAGCATACTGAATAATATCATTATTGTCAAAATTAGGATATACAAAAGTTTTGTCTAGAATTTTTAAATTAATCCAATCATCATAAGTTAAATATATGTTCTTATCAGGATTATGTGGATTTGGAATAGAATAATTTTCTGATGAATCCTTTGCTATTTTCCTGAACATTGCTCTATTAATTCGGTGATTATCAGTAACAACACAAATAACTTCAAATCCACATTTTTGAACTAAATTTATCTTTGATCTTATCCATATCATCGTAATTCTGGTTAGCGTTTTCATGTTTCTCAATTAATTTTTGTTTTCTTTGCATTGGGTCAGTTATTTTGGGTGCTTCAGTTTTTGAAAGATATGATGGCAAGTTTGGGAAAATGGAGGGAACAGCATTTTCTTTCAATTTTGGATATTTCGAAGGTATATTATTTTGGACTGTTCCATCCGCCAAAACTATATTTTCTGTCCTGATGATATCCGATTCTCTAAAATGACGACTGCACACAGCTGAATATTTTGAAGGTGTCCAATTTTTTCTTGGAATTTCCATAAGCCATTTGTTTTTCAGACTTTCGGTACTTGGGAAGCGAAAAGTTGAAACATAGCTTTCTGTTTTCAAAGCAGAATTATAGTTTGCATTGCATAAAGGAACACAGCAACAACAAGGCATATGGTCTGCGTCAAATACTTGATAAATGAAAAAAGAAAAATACAACCTGAATTTGCACATTTTCAATAGTTGAAATCCTTAGCGTCCTGAGGCGCGAACAGCCACAGTCACACTTCTTAGTTTATTTTTAAAGCACAGAAGCACTACAACTGGAGTCTATTTCTCATATATTATATATATATATATATAATTACAGCCTCTGGGATTCCAAAATCACAAATTGAAAAGGTTATGTTTTCTCAGCGTTTTGAGCACGAGTTGCGTCGATGCAGCAAGCAGCGGCGGGAGTAACACTACCACCTACGTTGCTAGATTTCTTTGTTCACGGCTCGTAGTTGACGTCGGCTGTGGTTATATTTGACAGACCGTCTGGACCAACTAAATAAGCTAATAATAATATTGGTAGTGATGCAGACAATATATGGATTTCTGAAACTTTGGATTACCATGGATGGTCATATATTTTTTATTATTACCACATATACTTTTCCACATAATGTTGAGTGTATAGCGATCATTTTCAAAGTCTCGTACAAAAGTATACAAAATTTGTATCAATCTTGTACAGGTACGACATTTCTCGTACGTTTGGCAACGCTGGGACTGACACACGTGTCAATCAGCACAGCATTGCCAGATCTCTTGCAGTGTTGCCAGTCCAATTACTTTTAAAATGTTTCTATGCAGGGTATGAGGACCTAAAACACCATTGACTGACTTACTCGCAAAAATGAGAAAAAAAACACTGAATATTATTTTCAGGTAACGTGTGGGAAACCCCGCACATCGTGGCGGAAAGTCCTTCGCCTAGATACGGCCACTCAACTGTCTTATACGGGGACAAGATCTTCCTCTATGGTGGGGTGGCAGGCAATAGGGGCCCCACGTCAGAGCTGTGGGCATTCGACGTCAGCGCCAAAACGTGGGAGAACGTGACTGTCAAGGCAGCGGCGTGCGGTATGGAAGGAGGTGGGGGGGCTATGTGTGGTCCCCTTAAGTCAGTTGGTCATACTGCAACGGTTGTTATCAATAATATCAATAAGAAGGTATGTGATTGTATGAACGTTATTGTATTGGATACCAGACAACATAGAGAAAATATGACTTAGTTCTTTTAAAAAGTTGGCAATTCGCATGCTTATTACGTAAAAATAAGATTTGTCTCATCTTCCGTTGGGCGGTGTTCATGCCCATTTCCCGAAGTGAAAAATGCGTACCCGCAATCATCTTTCATTTTGGGTTTACGATGCGTTATACACTTTTAAACACAGTAATTAGCAAAATTCTGCGATTGGCTGAGCTTGTATATAATTAACATTGTTCTGTTTCAATCATTTGTAAGCTTTCCTGCCATAATCACACGGAGCGAGGTCGGACCAAAATATTATATCGGCTTTCTGATGATGCATGTTAAACAGTTTTGGTAAACATCTTTGGGTATAAAGCTTCTCTTCGAACTCGACCAGCATATGGTGCTGAAACCCCAGACTCGAAGATTGCGCACCAGACTAGAATTTTGTCATCAGACGCCTTTTCTTCAAAGTTCACTTCATTAACCATCTTTAATATCAGAATCCATTATAATCATGTGGTTTCTTATAAAATGTCTAAGCCTTAGAGCTAAGCAACATCTAGGTATTGTTTCGAGTTATGTCTGAGTGTATTTGAAACACTTCTTTCCAAAAATGCACTTCATTTCTTAACACAGTCTTCTCCACGGCTTTGGACGAGACCCTAAAACTTTCGACTAGATATTCCAATTATGTCTTTAGCGCGCTTTTTAAAATTCTGTTAACCATGTTTTGTGATAAAACATGAGGTCTTCCAGTTTTAGGCAAATTAATGCAACGAATACCTTCTTTACAGTCTCTTATTGCCCTATAAATGGTTGCCTCGTTAACATTTTGATCTCTGAACAGGTTCTCAATTTCAGTTTTCGTTAATCGCCTAATTTCAAGTTTGTACGATATTTTGAATTATGGCAACAGTTTCACGTTCACTAAAAATAACAATCCACGATTTGTTTATTTGCAAACACTTTCTCAAAACTTGTGCCATGCGTTATTTAGATAAACTACTGCAACTCGAATTTCGCTAGCATGGTTTGTGGGTTGCAGGCTCGTAGGAGTATATGGAGTACACGTTTGGAAAAAGAAATACGTGTATGTAAAAAAGTTTTATGATCGTCGGCAAAGCTGGTGCCATCTCTGGAGGAGTGCCACAACAAATAGTAGACAGTTCGACAAGGCGAATAAATTAGAGAGATAATTGAGATGTATTCAAAAACATGGCGTCCACAAAACAGCTGATGGCGTCTAACCACGTGCTTTCCATATTTGCTCAGATAATTGCGGTATTGCCAGATGGGCAATCCTTCTTGTATAAATTCATTGGCCATCACTTGGAATTATTCTTTGTTCATATTTACTTTTGTTTGGATATTAATTCATGGTGTGGGTATTCATCCTCCGTTTGCATCATATGGAACACATTTTTTATTCAATTGAGTTATAAATTACATTTTTTGTGGGTGCTCTGCCGTCATGTAAAAGTTATTCTCAAAACCTGTAAGGTATCACACAGCTATTCAACTCTTATAGCTCTACGCGGCATAAAATTCATTTTTTTTTCTAATCACAAATTGCTTATTTGACCATCGTCGGTGTATTTGCCATAGTTGTTTGTTATCTGCACAATCTGGCCTTAAGATAATATGTTTACTAATTTCGTATGACTTTTTGACGTAACCAAAAACTGTGAAAAGAACAACCCCGTTCAGCTCGGTATAAATGTAGCTATTTCTAAACATTTTTTGTCAGTCCAGCAACACCGCCTCGGTAATGCAGAGTCACCTTTGAGCGAATCGCCAAAACAATGATGGTCGCTGTTTTTTTTATGTAAACCAGTAATAGTCCAAGAGCGGACCGCAAAGTTTTGTTTTCATGGCGTACTGATATATGTAGCAACCTCGGTGAGTTTGCTGTTTAGCATCAAAATTCGTAAGTTATATATTATCGCGCGATTTTGTAACCGCGGTCGGCTCTCCACTATAAAGCCATTCCATGAAGTCTTCTCTTGATATAACTACTCTTTAGCCACAATCTCAAAGTAGGCATATAGCTAATGTAAGCCACTAATAGCTAGTAATCAGTATAAGTTAATAAATTTTGGAAAAATCGCAATGTCGCACAAGAAATCGCAGTTTGATATATAGAATTGCAATCTGACAGTTGCACTCACGTAATAAGAACGAGGGCTTCCCTTGTGAACATACTGGAGACAAGGATGTTACTGGAAATACAGGGTGCGGCAGAGAGGACGGACGTTTTTGGGATGGGTAGTACTCCCGCCTCCGTCTACGAGAGAGGTGGGGAGGGTGCCGTTTGACTCTTTAGATCCTAGCATTATTTTACCAGTTGTCTTTATGGAGTCTTGGAGAGACGGATGTTGGAGAGAGTCTACGCGATCTTCCAAGAAAGCCTCCAGCACTGCATCAACGATTTCGGCCACCACATGCCTGATGTGATTTTCCACACGTGACTGTCTCAAATGCTATTTCCTTGTGAACCTGATTCCATCAATAAATTTGTTGTCGAGTAAAAATTAACTATTTTATGATTTTTTTAAAACCGTCCATCCTCTCTGCCGCACCCTGTATAATAATAACAATAAAGGACTCTATCGAAGCACATAAGATAGGCGAAGCTTAGCCATAGGGCTACTATTACACTTAATTCAGCTATGTGAGAAAGAAAAAAAAACAAATTGGATATACACATATAACAACAAAAAGAGACAAAAAATGTATCAAGAATAATCCCGTATGAGAGTATATAAAAAACAATCTATGTAGAAGACAAAAATAAACAGAAAAAATAATACTAATAAAAATTATTATTATTATTATAATGCCTTTATTCTCTGCAGAGAGGCGAAGTTTATGCAGACAACTCCTAGCTTAACCTGAAAGTTACTCTGTACAACTCTATTCCGGAAAGCCTAAAGCCATTGTATTTAAATAGATTTAAATATTATTCGAAAGAACACTTCGTGCATAAATAAGTGTATTTTTTGTGTGTGTATGCGCTTGAGGATTTAATTTCAAATTTAAACGTATTCACATAATTCTACTATTATACTTTTTTTTGATATATTCAAGTGGAATAATAGCTACATGAGTTAAACTTCGCTCTTTTATAATGTAGTCATTATAAATAAAGACGATTATTGTTATTATATTTTTATTTCTCTATATATTAAACAAATAACACAAGACATTGGTCAGACAAAAGAAGAAAACACTCACATGAGCACAATAGAGAAAGCTAGATGAACTCCAGCAGCTGACTTTTCAAAAATTTCTTTAAAAAAACGACCTATTTAGATCGCTATACACTGTTGACAGAATTGTAATTGTCAACAGCATAAAAGCTATAACTCCTTATATAGGTTTTATTCGACTATAATAGTAATAAAACTGTTCTACATTCGATGATTCACTATTTTAACTTCAGGTCGACCGTATGATCGTGATCTTCGGCCACTCGCCTGAGCTGGGCTACTTGAACACCGTCCAAGAGTACTACTTCGGTACCAGAGAGTGGTATATCGCCCACACGAACGGGTATCCGGTCAAAGGAGGTTATGGACACACTGCCTCCTATGATCCACTGACGGGCAAGATCTACGTATACGGAGGGATCGTTTCTGAGAGCGAATCGGCTCAGTATCTGAGTAAGAATCTGTATTCGTATGAGCCGAACGAGAGGATTTGGACACTGCTTGCAGACGCGCCTTCTGCTAGGTTTTTACATTCCTCCACTTTTGTCACTGGCGGTTTGATGCTGGTAAGAATACTTTTGTTTTCTTATATTTAATAATAATGGAAATGATTCAGGGTTGCCAGATCACACAGAATTCCCCCAGAACAAGCACAAAAATACCCCAAATTTGCTACTTTCTTTAAAAAAAAATAATTATGTTTTAGTATATTTAGTAGATTTTTTGAAAAAACCTAAAAGTGGCAATATCTCGAAAACTTGAAAACTTTTTCTAAGGTCATGTTGATTTTATCTGATTGATCTGAAGCCAATCTACCTCCCGTGTCACTCTGGCGTGTTATTTCTGGGACACTCTGTATACAGGATATATATTTTGGAAAAATCTATTAATAGGATGTTATATATGACGTTTGAGGGCACATTTCTAAAATATTGGCCATTATACAGGGTGTCCTAATTTCGACCTACATATCAAAGTTGTGATTTCTCAAATGGAATGCCTCAAATTTTATTGCATATTTCGATAAACCAATTCAAAAGAAGAACATTGATATTACTTACTATGGGGTTTTGGTAATTAGCTACTGAGATATAACATAAAAAAAACTTACACACCTCAGCTTTTATGTTATTTGTTATTTTTTCGAATTTTAATTTTTGCTCATACAGAGTGGTCAAAAACGCAAATTGTAGTTTTTCTCAAAAATTTCAAATGCATCACCCTGTATATTTGTGCAAGTTTGGATTCAATTGTTTATAAGATTTTTTTGATACTATACACATAAGGGTTTTTACGGCTATTTTTTCGGTTATTAGCACGTCTTTTATGGAACGGCTTAATTCCCTAAAATATCGCATCATCCTTGTAAACAAATAAATTGTTGGTTAGTTACAAACTGTCAAAATTAGCTTTGTGAGCATTATAATAAAAACGTGTTCGAAAATGAATTTTTCTAAAGAAGAAATCGTGAAATGGTGTTCGTTTTTGGCGAAGCCCAAAGAAATAGTTTCGTAGCATCTCGCATTTTTAAGCAACGGTACCCTAATATGCGACATCCAAGGCCGGAAACATTTTTCACACTACGAGAACGTTTTGAATGTAGTGGAGCAGTGGAATATAGTAAAAAATGTATAAATAATCCAAGTGTCACCAATGAGGCGAGTCAGTTGGAGGTTCTATAAAAAAAATTTCAATGTCTGGTAACACATTTACTGGTCTCATATCGCTGCATCTTTTAGAATTTTTTATTTTGGGAACTGGTGTTATTGTAGAGCATTTCAAATTTTCAGGAAAAGAACTGCTTCTCAGTGCACAATTAATCCAATTTAATACAGGATATCCCAAAATTTCGAAACAGTTTTTCAGCACGTTTTTAGTAGTGATTTCGGCACAGTTGTTATTTGATTCTAAACTGTTTACTTTTTTCTTAGATAATTCAATGATACGCTGTGAAATTTTGAAAGTGTATGGAACATTTCCCCCTGGAAACTGATTTTCATGTAGTTAGGTGCAGCATTGGCAGTACCCACAATATCAACAATACTTTTCACAAAATATTCATTTAGTTTGTTTGCAATCACCATAGAATTTGTTTCGGCACCGTTTACGAATTGAACTTGATTTACACAATCATGCGGTTTCGAATTGATCAGTCTTTTTAAAGTCTTCCACATCTTTACACTGTCGCACTTGTTATTATCGATTTGTTTATCGTAGAATTTCCTTTTTTCTTCTCTGATTACATACACACATTTATTCCTAAGAGTTTTATATACCGCCTAATCATCATTTGATTTTGTGAATATACATTTTTTGTATTGTTTGTCTCTCAAATTTTGAGCTGCCTTAATATTCTTGTTGTACCAGGGTGTATTTTTTGTCGAGCAAATCACTTTTTTATCAGTTGCAGATCTAAACAAGTTTTATATTTCCTATTATGTTGTCATATATTTTTTACATATTCTCACCAAAAATTCCAATACAGCCAGCAAGTTCTCGTTCAAGTTTTTCGTACTTAATAGTATTTACCGATTTTCTTAATTTTTGTATCAGAAAAATGCCCTACCAAGAGCATCATTGTCCAACTGTGATCACTAACTTTAGGTGTATGAACAGATTTAATCCCTGCACATTCGAAATTTACAATAACAAGATCTAACAAAGTCTCTGATAATGATGTTATTCTGGTACTCTCTTCAACTTTTTGCTTGAACCCATAGTTATTTATGGTTTTTTCAATTTCCTTGTTTTCATGCTTTTACCATAATAATTTAAATTAAAATCACCTAAAAGTATTATATTGTTTCTAAAATTCCACACTTCTTCGCATTTTTTCTTCAAAAAAAAGGGCAAGTGGTGAGAATCAGTAATATGTTTTTTCAGGTGTTTGGTGGTAATACTCACAACGATACTTCACATAGTTTTGGTGCAAAATGTTACAGTTCAGAATTACTGGCTTATGACGTTCTCTGCGATACATGGAGCATACTGCCGGTACCAAAGGACTTACATGCGGACTTGGCTAGGTTCGGTCATTCCTCTACGATTTTTGAAGGAAACTTGTACATATATGGTAAGTCAGTATTATATAATAGGAAAGAGGCTGATATATTATTTATGGAACGTATTGAAATAATACATGAAAAAGGGTAATTGCAATATTCTTATTTAATTTAACAAAGTGGTTTTGATCAAAAAGGATTGAAAGAAATTGAACGATTTTTCATGAACGCATCAGGATGAGTGACGTCTCTCCGGCTGATGGCAATATATTTGAGGCTATGGTCAACTATCATGGCAGCTGTGATAAATGTGAGCCGATCGGCTTTTTTTACACCGAAGCAGCCGTGCAAGCAGAAGCCTAAATGCCAGAGCACCGCGGCTGCTATGAGGAGCTTAAAGAAGCTTTTTTAATGAGATTTTTGAACTGCCTAATGTTAGTAGAACTGGGCACAGCTTCCTGTTGTGCATTGTTCCACAATCTCGATACCTAGGGACAATGAGCGGTCGTATAGGCCAGTTATGGATGTAATGTAATTTTTACATCGTGCTGGTCTTTGGCATTGCGGACTGCTTCGTTATGTTTTTTTTTGGTCTCGACGTAGCCTTGTCTGTTCTCTATAGTGGAGTTTTATAAGAATGCTCTTTGGGCCTTGATCTTCTGCTGACGAGCAGTGTCTCACGGCTGGTTGGCCTAAAGAATTTTTTAAAGTGCATATCCAGATTTTCCATTATATTTTCCTGACTAGAGCTACGTTTCATCTTAGTATAATCAGACGAAAAGTATTAAGAATACCCCTCCGGATAGGCTGTTGGAACAAGGTTAAAGGCCCGAAAAACATGGAGTTTTATAGTAAAGTATTTTAAGACAAATTTAATGGGGACGAACAATAAGAGGTTACCATTCTGATGAATGCGACTTTTGCTCCAGTGACTGCGTGGATTTGAACCCATCGCGTACTTTTTTCCAGGCGGTTTTGACGGCCAAATGCTCTCTGACATGCTGAAATACACCCCCGGCGACTGCACCTACCCTACCGAAACGCTCTGCCTGAACAACAAACCTGGAGCCAAGTGCGTGTGGGACTCGAAAGCGGGCGCTTGCAGTCGTGTGATGGGCGTGCACCGGGACCTGGTGCTGAAACGGGAAGAAAGCTACATCAACAAATGTCCGAAGTTGAACAGATCTGCGGCCACGTCTACGATCATACAGAATACCAAGAAGTGCGAGGAGATGGAGGATTGCCTTGGCTGCGTGCAGACTTCTAGTGGGTGTGTGTGGTGCGGGAATTCGTGCAGGTATGTTTGTTGATTTATTCACAGTTTAGAGAGGATTTTCATCGGTGGAGGTTGTAACTTTCTACTTGAATAGCGCAATACTCACTGAATCCTAGGAAACACCAGTCAATTAGGTACGATTTTACTAAGCCGGGGTACAGAAAATCACGTGGGTAACAAATTCAACCGATGAATGAGAACGCGTGTTCGAAGTAATGGATCTAGTGAATATGGTTGATTTCTTGTAAAATGCCTCTCAAACTAGAGATAAATTATACTATTTGTGTAAGATGTGCCCCTAATTTCCACGTTAAATAAAGAAAATGCGTCGTAAAGCACTTGGTTTAGCTACATAAACTTATTCATTTGCGTCCAGATACTCTATATTATCATATATAATGCTCGAATGAAAAATAAGCATTTAGACCATGAATCGAAGCATTAAATTTACATCTCAATGAAAATAACAGTGTCTCACTGTTGCTGTACAAAATTCTGCTTGATAAATTCTTTGAGGACATAAATAATATTACAGAATGCTGATTCTTTAACAAACATCGAGTAAAAATTCAATATACTTGACTTACTCTGTAAAAAAGTAGTAGTAGTAGTAGGAAAACTACAGTTGATTGTGCGACATCTTCCTGTTAACAGTAAGTAAGTAGATAAATTTTATTCGTTCGATAGTTAAGAGTAAGTATTCTGTAATTATATTTGTCTTCAAAGGATTTATTGAGCAGAATTTTGTATAGCAACAGTGAGACACTGTTATATTCAATAAATTGCTTAGTAATGGCGTCGTATCAATCTGTTTTATCAGATTTGATCCATGTTCCGAGTAGGCCAGAAATCCTTTTTAATTGATGGAATTTGATTCCCTACGGGCATTATTAAAATCGGGCCCTGAACAGATATTTTTCAAAAATTTTACCCTACTACCTCAGAATGGGACTTATGTTTTTTGAGTTTATATATGAACGTGGACAAAATAATTTTATTTCTCTTGTTACAGTTCAAATGGCTTAATGGATTTTGACATAAGAGGTGTCCTTAGGTCCCTCTTGATAGCACAATTGAATCGTCATTCTTTTCAAGTACTACAGTCGGGGTAGTTTATATCTGATTTGATAAAATTTTAACAGTTCACTTCAAAAAAAAATTATTGTATTTGCATCTTATCAAAATTCTTACCTATTTTCGAACAAATTTCCGGTAATTATCATGACCAAAAAACAAAAATCGATAGTCAACAGTTTAAAATGTCGTGGAGTATTTATAGATTCACATTTAAGATAATCATATTACATACATACATGTTATCAAATAAATTAGAAACTTTGCCTATAAACTCAAAATACGTCAAATACTGTACTATGCCTTAGTTAAAACTCATTATATACGGCGTCACAGCCTGGGGTGTCACCTGCAAAACATATATTTCTGATCTGGGAGTAGCCCAAAAAACTATTTTAAAAGCCATTTTCCATAAACCAAGATTATATCCATCTCATCAAATATCCAAAGACCGCACAAGACATTATTCAAATTCTCAGCACGCTAATTATACAATACAGTGCCTAACGAAATAAGGATTCTTAAACTTGAAAAAAAATTCAGACAAAAATTAAAAGATTGGGTTTGTACTGTGGAGCGAATGACCTTATATAATTTTATAGAAAACGCTCAAAATTATGCAAATACTTTTCTGAACTAATTATATTTATTATACACAAATACTTTTTGTTAGTTAGTAAGATATACGAGGGATGTCTTTTAAGTTTTGCATATAGAAACATAGTAGGCCGCGCGGATCGAACGTCAGTACTGAATCATAACCTCACTCTTTAGTAAACTTAAATTCAAAGTTTCACAACAATACGTGCAGTGTTCTCACTACAGTGAATCTTTAAGTGTCGCAAGTCATTAGAAAAATGGAACTCAACCGAGAACATTTTCGCGCCATAATTTATTACAACTTTCAGAGACAATTATCGCAACAAGAATGCCTTGCTGAGTTACTGTCTGTTTTCGGCAACGAAGCGCCACATCAGTCGACAATTTCCCATTGGTATGGAGAATTCAAACGTGGACGGGTGAGTCTAAGCGACGAACCCAGGGTGGGTGCACCAAAAACGGCAGTCACCCAGGAAAACGTCGATGCTGTGCGCAAACTCATCATTGAAGATAGACATATGACATATCACGAGATTGAGGCGTCCTTGAAGATCTCAAAGACCTCAATTCAAAAAAATTTACATCAAGAATTAGGAGTAAGAAAATTAGTTTCTCGTTGGATACCCCACCTGTTGACTGAAGAGCAGAAAGCAGCCAGTGTTAATTGGTGTCAAAAAACGCTTGACCGTTTCAATTCCGGAAACTCAAAAAATGTGTACAGCATTGTTAGTGGTGTGGTGGATTTACTGTTATGAACCAGAAAATAAACGACAGTCGGCTGTTTGGGTGTTCCAAGGTGAAGAAAAGCCAACAAAACTCATCCGTTCTCGAAGTGTTTCGAAAAAGATGGTCGCGACATTTGTGTCAAAAGCGGGTCATATTGCAACAATTCCTCTAAATGAGCAAAGAACTGTTACTGCGGATTGATATACCACCATTTGTTTGCCAAAAGTCATCACCGAGCTTCGAAAAATCAACCTCGAAAGAAGAATCATCCTGCACCAAGACAGTGTAATTATTGGACCCTCCTCCATATAGTCCCGATCTAAGTCCTAGCGATTTCTTTACTTTCCCGAAAATTAAAAACAGACTGCGTGGTCAAAGGTTCCAGTCACCAGAAGAAGCAGTTGACGCATTCAAAAATGCCGTTTTGATCTGTCAGCAAAAGAGTGGAATAAGTGTTTCGAAAATTGGTTCGAGCGCATGCAGATGTGTATTAATCTTCGTGGAGAATACTTCGAAAAACAATAAAGTCATTTAAAACTGCCTACCGTGTTGTTTTATTTCCATATGCACTGCCTTCAGTGGAGTTTCCATATTTATTTGCCGAGTTTTAAACAGCTTTGTATTTTGGCTTATAAATATTATTATTATCGTCGAAATGGTGAATTTTAAACGAAAATTTCAACTTTGGTATTTAAATTTCACTGGTTGTGGCCCAAACTGTTTGGTCGATTTTGTCATTTGAGGTGTCTAGTTAGCGCACTCGGGTTTTTGTATTTTTAAAAACGTACTTGTTATATTGACGAAATATCAATAGTCTGCCTTCCGTGAACGAAAAGTGGCAACACTTGTTATTCAAATGTCCAAACCAAAAAATTTGCGCAAATAAATTTTTCCACCCTCTAATACGTTTTCTTCGAGACACAAGGAAAAGCAAAGCAGTTTGTGTGGGTAGGGACTAACAACATCATTTAAAATTCGAATTTTGTTGCATGTTTTTAAACTGCAATTTTCATTTAGCATATTACTTTTATATGTATCTGAAAAACTAACTAAGTTATGAAATTACCTTAAATTCTCTTTTGGGCAGTTTCTTTCATCAGAAAAAAAACATAATTTTTTTTTCCGTTTTTGGTTCGTAATAAATCGCTTTGTTTCAGCTTGAAAAAGTGTCCTACGAAACCGAATGGCAATTCTAGTGACCTCATTCCAGTTACGAAACTTGCCCACTGCCCTGAAGATCCGACTCCAGTTTGTAGACAGCTACACACATGCAAGGCGTGCACGTCTCAACACTTCTGCAGGTTCGTTTTTGTAAATGAAATATTGACAACGAGAAATCATATGATGGAGCTTATATACCAGTAAAATGAGCAAAAAACGACCCAAAACTTAACACCTGCATGCGTAGGGTCTGAACTTATAGTATGAGATCCGCACGGGCATTACGTATCTTGAAAAGTGACATTTCGTCGTTTTTGTTTGTTGATATTTCGTAGTTTTTTTACATTTCGTAGGTTTTTCTACAATATGTTAACTTAGCACAAGCTGTTGTACACTTGTCGTGAGTTTGTTTTGTAGCTGTATGTGTTGCTTAAGCGTCAGCGAAGAGCGATCGTAGCAAGCATTTGCACACTAACAACTACCTAGTCTGCAAGATGACATTTCGTCGGTTTTTTACGTTTTTTAGGTTTTTTCATAATATAGCAGCATATAAAGCAGGTCTCTCAACGCACAGTGGTGACAGGTGGGACCGCAGAACAAGCACAAAAATCCTTCAGAATTGCTACTTTAAAAAAAATCCCCCTAATCACAGAGTAACTTAATGGAAGGGGTATATTTGGTTCATAGAGCGGGAAGATGCTTTCTATCTGCGAAACGTATGATTTCCCTCAGAACATTATATTCCCAAAAAATTCCCAATGTAAATATCCTCCAAATTTGTGGGACAATCCCCCAACATGGCAACCCTGTCAAAGCACCACTGGTACTCCAGACGTCGTTCCGGGTTCGTTTTTTCACCATGAACAGAGTCGCCGTACTTTCTCCTGGTATATAGGCTTCATGAGTTATACCAAGAGAAGTTAGACAAGGCGAATAAATTAGAGAAGGATATGCTGATCATATGTGTTGTTATTTGGCGGGAGATGTATGCGGTGTTGTCAGATAGATACTTTTCTTTGGATGAATTCAATATCCTTAACTTTTAATGAAAGATTAAGCATTTTTTGTTCACATTTACATTTGTTATAACATTTATTCATGGTGGAGATATTTATCATTTCCTGTCTACAACATATATTTTTCATTTAATGTGTACATTGCATGGTACAAAACATTTATGCAAGTGTATTATTCAATCACAAAAGATAGCCGACGTTCTAATATTTTTTCACGTAAAGTGGCCGATGCTACATGGCTACAATAGGATATTTGATATTTTAGAAAATGCGATCGTTAAAATGCGTGCTTTGTCAATAAATAATTTTCAATAATTGTAGTAGTATACACCAATAAGACAACTGTTATACACTGAAAACTAAAGAGAAGAGATGTGTGTATCGACACATATGTTAGAAAGAGATAGAAGCCGGCTGAATAGTGAAGCTCATCGCCACACGGACGCGGCATTCTGCCGCGTTGCTAATATGTTACAACGGTTCCTTGAATTAAGATGCATCTTGAAAATATGCGCTAGTTTATCCTTTACGCCGAAATAATGGTTTTATTTATTTATAACGAAAATGTTCCCCATATTAATAAATTTTCTTTCAGGCTTCTAGAGCCTCATGAAGTAGCTGAAATAATTTCTAGTTTTAAGTCCGATGCAAAAGGTACTGATGGGTTGAGCTTGTCTATGATTAAGCTCAGTCTGCCTGTTACTCTCATCTACATCACCCACCTTGTTAATAGTTGCCTTGAAAGAGGTTATTTCCCTGAAACGTGGAAGCGAGCAATTGTGGTACCAGTTCCAAAAAAATCAAATCCAGATGAGTTTGCTGATCTAAGGCCTATAAGCCTGTTGCCTTGTTTATCGAAGGTAGTTGAAAAGGCAGCCCACATACAACTAATGCATTATGCAGAGGAACATATCATCCCATCTGATCAGTCTGCTTTTAGGAAATCTTTCAGTACTACTACTTCCCTCTTAAACTTAGTGGATAATATTATTAGAGCACTTGATAAAAAAATGGGCGTAGCAGTGATGTCAATCGATTATTCCAAGGCATTTGACAAAATAAATCATGAGTTGTTAATAGCAAAGTTGAAGTATTATGGCATAGATCCAATTGCATTGAATTTTTTTCGAAATTATATATCAAATCGATCACAGTGTGTATCAGTTGGAAACAATAAATCTAGTTTTCTAGAAATCTTGTCTGGAGTACCCCAGGGGTCTGTTTTGGGTCCCTTGTTGTTTTTGATATATATTGCTGATCTGCCTAAGGCTGTGAGTTTTTGTGAACTCCAGTCTTTTGCGGATGATACTCAACTGGTCCATTATTTTGATACTGATGATATGGAAATGGCACAGACATCAATAAACCATGATATTCAAAAAGTGTATGACTTCTCGAATAACCACAACCTGTCAATAAATCCTGGTAAATCCAGCCTGTTCTTTTTTTGTTCGGATCGTAGGAGAGAAGAAATTAAAAGTCGATTAACTATTAAAATTGGATCTCAAAGACTGTACCCGGTTGACGAGGTTAAAATTCTTGGCGTGGTAATCGATTTCAAACTTAGATTCACCAGTCATGTTAAAAATCTTTTGAAGAAAACCTACTTGAGACTGAGATCATTATATGCCAATAAAGCAATTTTCAATTATAAGCTAAGGAAAAAACTGTGTTCATCTTTGGTTATGCCGATTTTCAACTACTGTGATATTTTATATTATCCGTGTCTCAATGTTGTTACTAGAAATCGGATTTAAATTGTGCAAAACAATTGTGCTAGGTTCATCTGCGGTTTAAGGCGCTTTGACCATGTTTCTGGTAGTCTTATTGAATTAAACTGGATGAAAACAAAAAATATTGTCAAATATCATTACCTTGTTTTTATTCATAAACTAATACTTATGTCAAAACCTATATACTTAAGAGAAAAGCTGATCTTTAGGCGAAATATTCATCATAGACATATTAGATTTCCAGATTTGATAACTACACCTATTCACTCCACAACTTTATTCCAGCATTCTTTCACGTACAGGGCTTCAGTGTTATACAATGCCTTGAGTCCTGAATTCAAAACCATGTCCTTACATTGCTTCAAGAAAGCTGTCAAATCTCATATTTACTTGGATCCATAGTCTTAATTAGATTGCTATAGATATATTGTTAAATGATTCTTCACTTCCCTTGTGTACATGTAGCAAAGCTTGGAGCAACATGTACGTATGTAATGTGTGTATATGTATGTATGTATGTACATGTGTATGTATATATGTATATTTTGTTTGATATCTGCTACTTAACAACTTTTTTTTGCATGGGTGGTTAAGTGTAAGAGTAGCATGTTGCTAAACTTCGCCACCATATGCAACTCTTGTTTCTGTATGAAGTACAGTTTAAATAAAGACGATTATTATTATTATTATTATTATTTTGAGCGTACACATTTTTGAATTGTGAATTGTGTCGAATCTGTTTAGGATCGATTCTGGATTGCATCATTGGTCCATTTGACAACACCGCATCTTGTAGGTTTTGACCAGTAATTCTACGGATCTATTGGACATATTTCACTCATCATAGATGTTCCCTTACATTTACTGTTAAAACATTGAAATATCTCCAACAGTCGCGTGTCGATACGTGCGTCGTGGTCCGGTTGATGGTCCTGCGTCGCAGTCGGCAGTCGCTTCCGTGCTGTTGTGGGCTGTATGCTGTAAAGTCATTATCGTCATCCACGCAGAATTAATTATATCAACGATCATTTGCGCCGGCAGAAATTTCTCTCAGGGCTGGGGAGAGTCTTTTAATTTGTTGTTAAACATGTTCGTAGCTATTTTTTTTCTCTGCAGGGCTAACTTGTGCGCTTTGCGAACTTATGTCAGTTGATTGAGTGGGAAGTACAGTCAACTTACTCGACGACATTTTTTATTTTTGACCAGATTTGTAAGGTTTTGGTGGAGGGTGACTAAGAGGTATTTTTAAATCGTCCCCTGCTTTGAATTTTTGAGTAAGTTGGTAATTCACGCTTCTGATCACAGGTGGCGTTTCGAGCATGCCAAGTGCGTGCCTCATCCACAGCATTCGAATGTGTCGGCTGAAGCGGTAGAGCCTATCCAATGCCAGAACGTTTGTAGCGAGTACAACTCGTGCTTGAATTGTACACAGGAGGAGTGCATTTGGTGCCAAAATGAAGGACGGTAGGTGTCTCAAGCATAAAATTCTTTGGCAACTTTAATCAGCTGTTTAAAGATCGAAGTATATTATTGTGACAGTTAAAAGACAAGAACAGAAAAGTGATATGCTGCTTTTGGTTTCTTGAATGGGTATTCCTTTTAATCACTTTGTTTCGATAACTAGAGTTTCAATGCCTATAACTCTGGCGAAGTTTGTTGTGCATACATACTGGGAATTGCCAGGTATATGCTACTTGACTCATTTCTAATTTCGCAGAATAAATGAGTATTTCTTACAGTATTTGGCTCAGGAAAACGAAATATATCGGTTTTTCTTTTTGAGAGCGCAAGATGGATATAGGTGTATAACTCCAATTTAAAAAAATATATTTCTTATATTTAATTTGAAACGTTGAAAACATTATCGGCCATGATGTGAGGTCATACAAATTGTAAACAAAGAAACGTGATGCGTATGTTACTCGTGAACTAACGTTGTCTTCTTTAAGTATTTCCAAAAAAAAAAATTAACGTGTAAAGTACAATTTCAAACAACTTTTCAAAATTACAATTTGTTAAAAATAGATGCGTGGACAAGAATGCTTACACTTCGAGCTTCCCATACGGTCAGTGTCGAGAATGGACGACAGTGCAAGCCAAGTGTCGGACTAGGGGCAGCAATGAAAACTCCCAATGCGGATTCTACAAGACATGCGCCAAATGTAGGGACGATCCGGCATGTGGATGGTGCGATGATGGTTCTAAGACGGGATTAGGAACTTGCATGCCCGGCGGTTATGCTGGTAAGTAAGATACATGCATCGATATAAAAAATATGATTTATCGTCTGGAAAACTATACTGCACTGTTCTGATCAAAAGGAATCTAGATCCGGCTTTAATTGCGTTGTTTTTGCGTACTCACGGAATCCAACTGCTGAGAAACTGGCAGCCTCGTTTTGAGATCGTGGAAAGAGTTATTTGAGTCAGCTGAAGCAGTTGCGGTGAGAATGGTCTCTAATACCTGTTTTACATTGACAGTAAAGCCATCGATTTCTTCATGAATTGAGTTCATGGGCAAATTTCAAAATTGCAAAACAGGAACTTGATGTCAAATAAGTCCGTAAGTTTCTCGTGGATTTCTTCACGAAATTAGAACTTGTTCTGTTTTTGCCAAACTGGACGTCGAATACCATGGTGACAATGGTGTTTTCCTTTCCATTATATTCAAAACTTTTCAACTCTGCAGTATTCGCCTCAAAATCAAAGCCACAATACTTATAAAAATTGTCCATTGATGTAAACACCGCAAAGCATAATCAGGCTGACCTTGAAGAAATCTGAATACGTGAAAAAATTGTTGATACGAAACGGGTATAGGAATTACTCCTGTTCCAAAAGTGTAAAATTCTGAGTTATATACAAACATGCGATCAATTAATGTACTGCCAGATGACGGGAAGCTCTTAGAAGGAGCCATATATGAACAAGTCATCGAATATATTGAAGAAAATAAAGATATTGACAAAATTTCAAGCAAGATTCAGAAAAAAGTATTCTACTGAAACAGCAATTCAAGTGGTAGTAGAAGAATGGAGGCGAAATATGGATGAAAAAAAAGTGTACAGTAACATTGTTTCGTGGATTTCAAGAGAGCATTTGTGACTATGGACAGGGAGAAATTGTTAACGAAATCACATTGCTATGGATTTCAAGGTTCAGTATTCAACTTATTACAAAATTATTTAATCAATAGAAGTCAAAGAACTAAAATTGGCAATACATTATCAAGCAATTAAAACATTTCGGTAGGTGTGCCACAGGGTAGCAAATTAGGTCCATTACTATTTATTTTATATATTAACGATATTCCTGATGTTTTACAACACTGCAAAATTCAACTATTTGCTGAGGATACATTAATATATATATATATATATCAAATAAAGACATTGAAACTGCTATAGAGCTGATAAATAATGATATGAAAAACGTAACAAATTGGTTAAATATGAATAAACTTAAACTAAACACAAACAAAACAAAATATATGCTAATAAGAAAATCTTTAGCTCAAAATACGATAAATCTTACAATTAATCATGAAACACTTGTGTCAATCGAATCATTTAAATATTTGGGCATATACGTAGACAGTAAATTAAAATTTGAAGGGCAGGTACTATGAATATATTATTTCACAAATATCCAAGAAAATAAATTACTTTTATAAAATTTCACATAGCCTAAGCCTAAAAAGAATGTGTACAACTTCAAAATTACAAATATTACAAAATAAAGCTATGAGAATCATCTTAAATGAAAATAAATATACTAGAATAAATTTTATACTGAAAGAACTACAATGGTTAAATTTCATGGTTTTCATTTTCATATTCAAGTAAAAAAATCATTTTCTACCAAATCACTTAGAAAATTTTATTGTATTGAACAATGAGTGACACAATTATTCTACTAGAGGAAGTAGTACACACTTTGATTTACAAAACTGCAGTAGCAATATAACGAGCAAGTCAGTATTTCAAAAGGGATTGTACGAATTTAATAAATTAAGTAATGATATCAAGATGTGTGTCAGTTTGAAAATGTTCAAAGGGAAATTGAAAAAATATTTCATGTAAAACCAGAATTCATAGTAGTGAAATTTTGTATAAAAATATGTAGTCTTGAAGACATGATATATTTTGTGATATTCTGTGTAATATGGATATTATGGACATTGTAGCATTAATGATAAATATATCTAAAACAAACAAACAAGAAAGCTACGTTAAAGACATTACCGAATTTGGATTTTTTATTTCACGAGATTTTTATGTCTGGTCAATACAATCTTGATCGTACTTATTGTTTGATTCCAGGACCAACTCTGCACACACAATCTCTACCTTCATCGACGTGCCCACAAGAACGCTGGCACTTCACAACTTGTCCAGTGTGTCAGTGTAATGGTCACGCGAATTGTGTCGGTAACACAAGTACCTGCCAGCCATGTGCCAATTTGACGACGGGGAGCCATTGCGAGTACTGCCTCAAAGGGTTAGTGCAGATTTGAAATTAAAAATATACAAAAACATGACAGTTCTGAAGTGCTGAGTAGGACATTTGCTTGGCGTCGTTGTATGTGTACGCGCGGTCATTTATAATAATAATAAACCGTCTTTATCTGGGGCGAAGTCTAGCATAATGCTACTCTGCTACTTAACAAAAAGAAATCAGAAACATAATACAAAAACACAAAAACATTTGGTAAGGTACAAAGTAAGTTAAAAATGTAGGTGCATAAAAATATGATTTATATAAAATATAAGTGAAGGATATTCAATATTTTAGGTTTTAAAAGTAAAAATTGTAACAGTTATACAAGCAAAAGAAGGTTATGTTATATTGGAATATTAGTGTGAGGTGACAGATAAATTTTAGCAACTGATTTATGTATTTCCTGTGGAGGATTGTGAGTGTTTCCGTGAATCGAATGATCGAATGTCCCTAGAATAAATATTGCTCCTAGATATCAGCTTATTTTTCAAAAACGACGGAACGGATGAGAGCAAAAGTATATGGGTGTAAGTAACTAAGAGTAGCTCATAATATAGTTCTTTTGTTCTCAACCAATCCAAAGAAGAGCTGATATGATCGTGTCTCTCCAAATTGTTGATCAACCTAGAACATGAATTTTGAATTTTCGAGAGACATGTTAGAGATATTGAGTCTAGAAATGGAAAATAAACTAAATCACAATAATTAATTTTGGACAAAGATTCATACAAATTTATTCTAGTTATATAGTCGAGAAGTTGCTTATTAAGATACAGCAGCGGACACAAGTTTGGAAACATTCTTAGTAATTTTTAAAAAGTGCGCTAATTTTTTATTATTTATTATTGGGGACTATTTTTTTCTCATATAGTTTGCCTACAATCTTGAGGATACAAATCACAATTTGTGTTTGCTGTGGTACTACAGACTAGCATCAAAATACCTTCATATTATTTTTTGACCAAAAATGAGACGACAAAAGTATGAAAACATATTTTTTATTACAAAATTGAATACAATAACTCTACAGAAAGATTTCAAAAATACTGTTTAGCTAATGTTTGATAGCATTCGACACTGTCTGACATCTGCTGCTCGTAGAAGACACACATAATCAAATAAAATGTTCCTGTTTTTAAAAGTTTTTCTTGTCTCTCCCAGAGATGTTCTTTAGGGTTTAGGTCTGGGGATTGCGAAGGCCATGTACGAACGTGCACATTTTTTAGTCTTAACCAATCGTTTACGAATTTTGAGGTATGCTTGGGGTCATTATACTGCTGGAATGTCCATTGTAACGGCATTTCTTCTTCAGCAAAAGGGAGCATGTGTTCACTAGGAATATCTTTGTAAAGTTTTTGATCCATTTTCCCAACAATTCTAACAATTGGACCCGTTCCAGAACTAGAAAAACAGCTCCAAACCCTGATGTTGCCTCCACCGTGCTCTTTTTCATATATGCCGTACCGTCAGATCCAGACAAGTTAAATTTGCTTTCATCGCTCCATAAAACTGTATTCCATTGTTGTTCAGTCCAAGTTAGATGAGTTTGATATGAGAGGCTTTTGCACTGGACGCCTACCAAAAAGCCCAAAATCCACCAAACCAAACCAAACCAAACTTTTCTGCACTGTTTTGACACAAAGCTTTCTCGGCACGTTCTTCTACGATTCTTTTGAAAATTTGTGTGGCTCGCATTCGAGGATCTTCATGGGACAAACGTTTATTGTAGCGATCCAAAACATAATCGGTTTTTTTTTCGGTCTTCCGCACCTGGGCCGCGTTGCTGTTGATCCGTATTCTTGATATTTACTAATCATCTTTGAGAAATGTCAACATTTCTGACACCACTTCTAAATAATTCAATTACTTTGTCTCTTAAATCTTTTGAAAATGCTTTTACTTTTGCCATTCTCACTGATTACCGCACGCAGTATCAGAGTATCGCAGAACGAATAAATACGGCAAAACTGAAATGTTTCTATACTTTTGTCGTTACAAAAACTGTGGTATTTAAATAAACGCGTAGTTTTATTTTCAGAGAATTTGAATATAGATAAAGTAAACCTTGTATTAGTATGGGAGCCAAAGGTAGACTTTAATATTTATATTATCTGTTCCTTCAAAATTTTAATTTAGGTATATGAAATAGTTCATAATAATGTTAATAGTTGTTTCCAAACTTTTGTCAGCTACTGTATAATCGACGTACAATGGAAAAACAACTCTTACTGATATTATTTACATGTGGTATAAGATTAGGCATTCATCTAAAGTTACGCCCAAGTGTTTGGACGATTCACTTACTTCTATATTCTCACCATTTATGTTTATGTTAAAATTTCTTTTCGAATCGCTTCTAAACAGTTTTGGTGAATAAATAATGACTTTAGATTCTAAAGGATTCACCTGAATGTTAGGGTTTTTTGCATACATACTACTGGCTTTTATATCTTCATTTACCTCAGATTAATAATAGTATAATACAAACTTGTCATAGTAATTTAATGTATTTTTATCAGGTACTATGGTAATCCGGTAAATGGTGGTAAATGCGTTCCTTGTAACTGCAATAAACAAGCTGATGACTGCAATAGGGAAACTGGAAAATGTTATTGTACAACAAAAGGAATAATAGGGGACCAGTGTGAGAAATGTGATGCAACCAACCACTACCATTCGGATCCCAACAATAAATCGTGCTACTGTAAGTATATGTAAATAATTTATGGGCTATAATTATATGCATGACAAGTCATTTGGTGCAGAAACCATAGAGTAAAAGGAAGTCATTTACAATAAAAAACCGAGTGCACGTGACGTGAGACAATTTTTTTACTGGCACTAGGACTATGTCGCATTAACCAGATCCTCTTTAACAATGGGGTTTATGCCAAGAAACCAAATACTGTAGAGCAGCTGAAGAACAATATTACGGAAGCGATTGAAAATATTCCTCCCGAAACCTACCAAAAAGTGATGGAAATGTAATTATTTTTCATACATAATATCTAAGTTTCAATAAAAGATTAAGATGTAAAAAATGGACGTATTTTATTTCATTTCACAAATATTCAAGATACAAACCAGTCAGTTACAATCATATCGGCCATCATGTATCAGGTAACCAAATAAGTTCGTGCGGTTTTTAGTGGAAAGATATAAATTTTTATTGAGGAACAATAAGGCACTATTTATTCGCCGAAGTAATTACCATCACATTCAATGACCTTTTGCCAACATGGAACCAATTTTTGTATGCCGGTATTGTAGAACTCCCTGGATTTGGAGTAAAAAAATTGGCGGACTGCATTCATTACACCATCTCGAGTTGTGAACTGTCGGTGCCTCATACAGTTGAGAGACAAAAAGGTGATAATCACTGAGCGAAATGTCAGGAGAATATGGCTGGTGCGGTAACGTTTCCCAGCCGAGTTCAGAAATTTTTTCTCAGGTCACTTTTGCGGTATGAGGCTTGGCGTTATCCTGCAAGAATATCACTTTCTTCCGATTGATCATAGAAGGCTGTTTCTGGATGAGTGCTGCTTGTACTCGTTGAAGCTGCTCACAATACAAGTTAGCAGTGATGGTTTGACCCCTTTCCAAAAACTTATAATGGACAATTCCAGTTGCTGTTGCAACAAAACCTGGTTTGGGTGCAAGGAAGCCTTGGGCGTGTGTGGTACCGACTCAGTAGGTGACAACCAATGATACGAATGCTTAGAATTCGAATACAAGATCCATTTTTCGTCGCAGGTTAATAACCGATTAAGAAATGGTTCATTAGCGTTGCGTGAAATGTTTGCTGAACAAATGGTAAGACGACTTAATTTGTTATCATTTGTCAGTTCATGTTGGACCCATTTGCATGACTTCCACGTCTTTCTTAGCTGACGAAGATGCAAACGAATAGTTTCAGGACTCACTCTGAACATTTCTGCAAGTTCTTGGCACGTTGTCCTGGAACTTGCGTCCACAACCCGTCGAAGTTCCTCGTTGTTCATGATTTTTGGTCTCCCTGAGCGCGATTCATCGCTCAAACAGATCTCCCGAAGAAGATTTTTTGAACCACTTCTGAGCTGTTCGATCACTAACGGCATCATCTCCGAATGCGGTACATATTTTTCGCGCCGCCGCTGCAGCTTTTGTACCAAGTTTATACTCATACAGCAAACAACTTCGAATTACTGTTTTATTCGTCGCCATTTTTAATTATTAAAACTAGGTATGTAATAATTTTCAGCAACTTTTTATGTGTGTGAGAAAAAAAGGAGTCATACTAAAGTGACAACAGGTAACAAACAATCGCTATCGATCAACAACATCCATGGCAATGTGCGATATACAGCAACCGCACGAACTTATTTGGTTACCTGATACTTTTATGACCTTGTATATTTTCCTAAATATTATACGATGTTAGGGACGATATAAAATTCTAGATTCATTCTCTCTGTTCCAGATGATCTCACTATTGACTACCAGTTCACCTTCAACCTGTCTAAGAAAGAAGACCGCCATTACACACAAATCAACTTTAGAAACTCGCCGATCAAACCTGATATTGACGCTGACTTTCTAATAACTTGTTCGGTTTTGGCCAAAATGAACGTCACTGTGAGGATAGGAAATTCTCCGGAGAAAGAAGTACGTACATCAGAATTATTTAAAAAAAAACACGTTAATTATACGAAGGTTTCACACTGCTATATAGCTTACAAGTTCTAACTTTAACTATTGAAAGCTACCAGGAAATTTTGTCATTTCTAAAAACTTGTCACGATTTTTGTCATGTCATAAGTTTTCACTAGCGAAAATATCTCTTCAGTTTAAAACATTTATTAGAAACGTTTCGACGTCTTTAAACGGCATCTTTCGGTACATGGGACTTTTAGTTGGTCAAAAATAATCACATTTCCACCAGATATACAGCGTGTTCGGAAAATAGACGGAGATATTTTAGGCGGTAATTCCTTGTTAAAAGAAATGAAAAAAGTTTCTAAAAACATGGGTCGGGAAATGCAGACTTTTCAAGATACAGGGTGATGAATTTAAAAAAAACCTTTTTTATTATCTTAAAAAATATTTTCTCGTTTGTGTTGAAATTTGGCAGTATTATTTGTTGTATCAAGAGGCTAGTTTAGCCCTAAATAGATTAAAATTATTAGGTCGAGTGACGTTTCGGGGGCCAGCTTAGCGAATATTGTTGGCAAAAAAACGTACGCCACTGCCTTTTTTGTAACTTTAATATCTGTTACTTCATTAAGCATCTAAAAATACCACTCCTTTGACTGTTGTATTTTTTGCGTATCTCCCTTCGTTTTCAAGAAAAAAAATAGCCGTTTTATTGCATGTCACTGGACAATTTTGGTTTATTAATTCTTGCTAAAAAAATCACAAGTGCCCTGGAATATAGTCTATTTTTCGAACACCCTGTATGTTGGCGGTTTGACCGTAGCTGTTGGCCTATCTTTCGGAAATGGTATTATTTTTGACATTAAAAATCGCATGTATCTGGAGATGGCATTTAAAGTCGTCGAAACGTATTTCTGATAAATGCTGAACCGAATCCCAAGAATTTACAACTCAAGTTGGTATCATCGGTCAACAATACAAAATTTTAAAGTTTTCACAAACAGTTCTTGCCTTATCGCAGTGGATCTAGAGAAATAATGTAAAGCGTATAAATTTGACATAGACTTGCATGGACTTCCCTGCAAATTGTACAACCATGCAGTTTTTAAAAGATATGCAAATGTCTGGGGAAGACAAATATTTACTTAATATCTACGAACCAAATTTAAAAGTTTGGTATTGTAAATAACGTGTCAGCATTGTAATTATAAACAATTAACGATAAACAATTATTATTATTTTGTAGGTGTTTATGAGCTACAATTGTACGACGTTCAGATCGAAATTTTCAAAATCGGAGTACCAGTTTGGCGTGGAAGATAATGTGACGCTTACAACGTTCTACGTGTACGTGTATGACTTTCAACCACCTTTGTGGATACAAATTTCGTTCAGCCAGTACCCTAAGTTGAACTTGCAGCAATTCTTCATTACATTCTCCTCGTAAGTATATATTTTTTCTATGGACGTTTGTAATAACTTTTCTGGCGCCCTTACCTGCAACTGTCAGCTGGCGATTTCTTATGTCATATTATATATATATATATATATGAGCAGTAGTCATTGCCATTGCCAACGATCGATCAGTTGGGCAAAAAATACAATTAATTGTTAATTGGGAAATTGGCAAACTTTTCAGGCTTCAGTTAACTCTTTTGATGGTAATCTCTAGCTTTCGGCAATTCTCTATGGAGCCTTCATCAGGAGCTGGAAACACAGTTATAATGCTAGCAAACAATACGGGGAAGATTTAAATTGTCAAACAACTTGCAGACAAATGTTGTTTCAAAACGAACGCGGGGACGAGAGCACTTGCTACAAATATAAAACCAACCGGACGGACACATTGGTCATTGATACTGACGGGTACCATCGTTAGATGTTAACACTATAAATCACCGGCACGGGTATCACGTATCTTGAAAATTGATATGCCGATTTTTTTTTGATATTATGCTGTTAATTTGACATTATCTGGTTATTACCGTCAAAAGAGTTAACTAAAGCCTATATATATGGCTATGATGTGACTGTTTATGTATCACATTTCTGAATTTTATCGTTCCATTTCCACAGGTGTTTCCTGCTGCTTCTTCTGGTCGCCGCCATATTGTGGAAGATCAAGCAGCGGTATGACATGTACCGCCGCAGGCAACGCCTCTTCGTCGAGATGGAGCAAATGGCTTCGAGGCCCTTCTCGCAGGTGCTCGTCGAGGTCGAATTCAAGACTGTGATCCCCGCCGGCGGCGACGTCGGCAAAGGCGTCGACCTTAAGAGGAAGAAGCGAGATTCGCCTAGTCCGATCGCTTTGGAGCCGTGTTTCGGCAACAGGTTCGTATAAAACAGGATTATTTCAACATGCGGGGATGTAGTTTTAATAGACAAGAATGTAACGTTACAGAAAATTAATTCAATAAATGTGTAAACGGATAATTATACAAAATTGGCATCAGTGCTAAGTAGTATGATGAATATCCAACTAGGTCTAAGCTGCTTTTAATCCCGCCGAGACATCGAACTACGGCATACTAATCTGCATGCAGGTATATGGGATGTAAGATTTTTAATAAGCTCAATGATGATATTAGGAATGAATCAACTATAGCTGTTTTCAAAAGAAAACTAAAACTTTTTTTGATAGACAAATGTTTCTACACCTTGGAGGAGTTTTTTGTTTAGATCTATGTTTTTATACTTTTTCAACTCGTCACCACTATTTTTATGACCTTAAGAACAACTTGAGAACAATGAAAAATGGGCACCGGCGCGATTCGCATCGCCTCCATTCCTTGCAGCCGACCTAACCAATTAGTCTACAGCTCCAGCTGTCAACCAACTTTCCGGATCGACTATTAGAGGCAAATTCAATCCTACCCACGACATTGTTCCTTTGTTCTTTCAAGCTTCTTGATGCCCCAACTGGCTGCATTCAAGTTTTAAGGGCTAATGTATGGTGATATACAGTGATGGACAAAAGTATATAGACAAATTAATATTGTGTTGTATTTCTTTTTTAACTTGTTTTATTAATACACCAACCTGTATACATAATTCGTTATAGCATAATACTCACTTACACATAAATAAATTTATTAGACTCCCTTCAATAAAAAATTAATTGAAAAAAACTGGAACTATGAAGGACAAAAATATATAGACAAAGCAAAACATTTATAGAAAAAAGAAGCAAAGTTCATTGGATTATAGAAAACCAACCATGTTTGTGTTAATATTTTGTAGCATAACCATTATTATCAACCACCGCCTGGCATCGTCTCGGCATAGATTGTAGAAGTTTCTTGATATAAGATTCATCAATCTGTCTCCACTTTTGCTCTAAAGCGGCAAAAAGTTCATCCTTGTTTGAATAATTTTTATCTCGTATTTGCTTATCTAAGTATTCTCATAGATTTTCAATGGGGTTTATATCGGGAGGATGTGAAGGCCATTTGAGAACTGGTATTTTTTCATCCAGAAAGAATTTCTTTGCGAGATTTGAAGTGTGCTTCGGGTCATTATCTTGTTGGAAGATTGATCTTAAGAGCATATTGTCTGCCATATAGGGTAACATGATGATGTATACAGACTTATCGATAATGCCATCTATTCTATGTAAAGGTCCCATCCCAAACCCCGAAAAGCACCCCCAAACCATGACAGACCTGCCTCCATGTTTGACAGTGGGCAAAGTGTACTTGGGGTTCAATCTTTGTCCACTAGGACGTCTAACGTAATGAACACCATCTGATCCAAACATAGTGAACTTGGATTCGTCACTGAAACACCCTCCTCCAGTCACAGATGCTCCAATCAAGATGCAACCGTGCAAATTGTAATCGGTCCTTACGGTTTTTCCTCGAGATCAGCGGCATCTGACTCGGGCGGCGTGTAAGTAACTTCAAATCATTTAATCTTCTACTTATAGTTTTCATAGAAACACTGGCAATTCATTTTGTCTCGATTTCGGCTTTTATTTGTCTTGGGGTTTTAAACGGAACTTTGGACGAAATTACTTTTATTAATCTAACTGATCTAGCATTTACTTTTACAGGCCGACCACTTCTCTTAGAGGCTTCCAACATACCTTTTTGTTTATATTTGTTCAATATTGCCCAAACTGCTTTACGCTTCAGCTTCAAATTTTTGGCAATGTTGGCTTGACGTTGACCATCTTTTGTATAACTCAATGATCTTAGTTTTCACATCGAAAAAAGTTTCTGGACCATGCGGCATGGTCTTAAAATCACTCAACTTATTCCACAATACTTGATGAACACAAACTAATCCTGTTCTGAAACGAAACTGTACTAAACTAATGTTGAAAAGAATTTGTCTACATATTTTAGTCCCTCATAAAAAAGTGCTTACATTCAGACTTGAATTGTGTTTATTGCAGATAATGTAAAAACAAGGAATTTAGCTTTTCTACTAACAACGCACTTGTTTATGGAACAATAAAGTATGAAGTCATTTTCTAAAGGTATTTAGGTAAATATTTTGTCCATTACTGTATTTAACAAAAAAATTGTTACAGTCTGTTTAGCCACAACCATCAAAAACGTTTAAAAATTGAATTCAACATATGAATTTTAAATCAGTAAGGGTTACAACTCCATAAGCTTGTAGACATTAAAAATCAATATGTTATTTTTCAATGAATTATTAAAATTTTATACTAGTATATTTATAGAAAATTTGTCGTATTCATAGTTTGGTTAAAACTCAAGCACAACACACTTTTTTGCTTATTTATTGGAGACTACCGTTATTATTTATACGAAAACTTTGTAGTCAGACCTTTAAACATTATTAGTGCAAGATAACAATGCAATTGCTTTTTTTTTTTTCAGGGCCGCCGTCCTAAGCCTGCTGATCCGACTGCCGACAGGCGGTGAACCGTACACCGCTCGCGGTCAGTCTGCTGGACTGGCAATCGCCAGCGCGCTGGTCACACTGGGGAATCCCAGGAAGCTGAGCGTGGACCAGGCGAAAGCAGAAGCCACCAAGGGTGGGGGGAAGCAGGGAAGGAAGACGCAGAGTCAGCATCCGGATGGCGGGTGTTTGTAGGAATCGAAAATGAGCTTTGGAAGAAAGTGAGAAGTGTGTTAGAAAGTGAAAGAGGAGCGAGTGTGTGGTTTTACAGAGGTACGAGCGTGATAGTACAATAAGTCGTAGATGCGGAACAGGATACATAGCAAGTGATATGCCTTGACCTGTGTCAGTTGATGCTGGCAAAGTGAAAGTTGGGTGGCAGAAGGCTCACTGGGTCTTGGACACAACGTGCTAGGGAGGAACAAAACCTGGCAAATATATATCTTTATTAACAGAATTACAGCAGACTGATTGGCAAAGTTTAGCACCTGCTACTCTTACACCTAATCAATCATTCCGGCTATTACGTAACTTGAAACATGACATTATGTAGGGTTTTTATGACATTATGTAGGATTTCCTACAAGACATCAACTTGGAACTAATTGTCGTTAACTTCATGCTCACTTGTAGCAAGCGCGGAAAGAACTAATTGAAGACTAGCCTAATGAGTTGAAATTTTATCCTTTTTTGACATCATATAGGTTTTGTCACGTAATAACAATACAGAACATGCGTTAAGTGGTATAGTAGTAATACAAAAATTTCTTAAAGAGACAGATATTACGCATGTGTAGCTATCATCATTCTGAAAAGTAGTTTTATCATATAAACGTGGCGCCATTTTAAAAAATTATTTTTATATTATGTGAATATGTAATAATGAATTACGACGCAAAAGCATTGAATTAGTTGGTTTCTTGATAAAAACCTGATTTCGTCAATAATAATTTTCTTGTTTTTTGTTTCCATGGACGATGTTTGAGTAGAGAAATATCCAATTTTCTTAAACAAATAGCTATAACACAGAAACCGTTTGAACAAACCGGTAACAACCTTGTATTAAAAATTAGCTACAGGGTGTTCCATTTAATTCTTTTACGAAAAAGTACGCGTTGAGTTTTTGACCACCCTGTATTGATCATGCAAAAAATAGATGAATTAGACTGAAATAAAAATGTTTGAAACAAGATTCGCGACTCCACCTGTCAGCATACCAAATATGCAGATTGTCAAACTTTTGTTTTTCTTTATATAAAATAATCATTAATTTAACAACTAATCACCAGTCTTGTTTTTTTAAATGGCCTATTCGAATGTGTGATAAAAAGTAGGGCATTCCATTTAAGAAAAATTATCTTTGGTATGGCGGTCAAAATTGGGACACCATATGAAATATACAGGGCGTTTCATAACTCATCCTGCAAATTTTAACCACATATGCACTGTTACGAAAGAAGTTGATTTCTCAGAAAAAAAAAGTAATAAAAGTCCTACAGAAATCGAGATAATAAAATAATACAGTGTAACAGTTCCCTTACTTATAAAACTTGCTCAAAATTGTTTCCATTGACTGCAGTTGGGCCTCATGTAATATGCGCACGCTGTTGCATGTGACACTACTGGGACCTGTTGGGTTAACTGCCTTGTGCTTATTCCCGGATTTTCTTCCACAATATCCAAAATTTCGTCTTCGGCATTTAAAAGGCGCAAATCTCCACTAGTACGTGCACGTAAAACAATTGAACTAAATGTTTCGTGATGTGGTATGTGCCTATTCGGAAATCGGTGTGCATACAAACGCTCGCGAATTTTGCCCTGCTTCTCCGTACGCTAAAACAATGCCCACTAACTCGTCATTAGTGTGCACATCTGACATTTATTAATAAATAACTAAAAACATAAACTCGCAAAATACTTTCTTATTTAACTTCACAAAAATCTACCGTTCTTCTTTCAGATCACCCACGGTACAGATTAAACAAAAAACAAAAAATTCCTGGTATTTTGTTTTCTTAATTTGTTTGGTACAACATGTGCTACAATAAATTATTAATGCGTGTTCTAATATCACGACGATGAACGCAAAATACTGATATTTATTTTTCAATTTATTTTTGAAACTCAGGCTTATATCTTAATTTCTGTAGGTCTTTTATTACATTTTTTTTTTGAGAAATCCACTTCTTTAGTTACTGTGCATATGTGGTTTAAATTTGTCGGATGAGTTGTGAAACACCCTGTATAATAATCCATAAATCGTTTCCTTTGAACACTTTATAAGAGTATGTAGCATATATTTATTTGGCTTTAGCGCCATCTATGAAACAATAATCTTTTCAAAGTAGATCTATAATTAGTGCGGAGAGGAGGAACACAGTTTTGGCAAATGACGCTACAGTATCTCATTTCATCTCGGATAATTTTTTGGACGCGGAAATGTAGTATTAGGTTGGCTATTGTCATCAAGAATATATTAATCAATGCCCTTGCTTAACGTGTCGCCATTATCGCAAAAGCAAATCTAATAGCGACGTCACAAAGATGGACAATATTGCGGAATTTGAGAACAGAGCAAATACTTCTTTTATTTATAAAGTACAGGGTGACCAGTGGGAAAGTTCACTTTTTGATTTAATATAAGAAATAAGATATAAACTTAATGAGTTTGGGTTTTATTTCTTAAATATCATTCCTTCTAATCGCGCACGCAAATTCTGAAACACTCTCCTGCAGAATTCTGGAGTGTTTATTTCTCGTCGAATGTTGTCTTCAAGCTCCTCCAGTGTTCGTGGATTATTGGAATACACTTTTGACTTTAGATAACCCCACAAAAAATAATCGCATGGCGTGAGGTCGGGTGGCCTAGGAGGCCAGTGAATGTCTCCAAACTTCGATATAACTTTTTGAGAAAAAAGTGCTTTCACCGTATCTATCGATTCTCTGGATGTATGGGCAGTGGCCCCATCCTGTTGAAACCACGCGTTTCTGTTAAATCGACGTTCTTACAATAGCAGCAAAAAAGTGTCAATCATGTCCTTGAATCGCTCAGAATTGACAATCAATGCATGACCGCTAGAGGATATGGCGCACCAAACAGTCACCTTTGGACTGTGTAGCTGTTGTTGATCTTTCGAGTTGCTGCGTAGGAAACAGATTCAACATCCGTTCAGCACAAGATTTCCGTAATATCACTTTCCTTTAGAGAATGGACTGATTCGGCAGCTGCGTAGTAGTAAAGTAAGCCTCGATAGCAAAAACACGTTGCGGTCCGGTCCAACGTTCCATTGTGACTATTTAACCCGCACGCCGAACGCGTCGATCAAGACCCCTCCCCTTTTCCTCGCGTATACGGTTGCCGCGTAATTCGAATCTGTAATGTGAATTTTCCCACCGGACACCCTGTACAAACGGCATTTTTGTTTTGAAAAGGAATGCCCAATATCTCTATGATCAGGGCCAGCTTCAGAGCTTTGTGCGCAAGATTAATTGATAATTTTGCGCCCCTACGTGCATACCGCCTGTAGCCGGCCCTGTCTTTGTCTATTACGTAATAGATATATTTTTCTCATTTTTAACAAGCTGTTGATTGCTTGCATTTACTAATCGACGACCTCAAATCAATACCTCGTATATCAAAAAGTAGCATTTTGCAGGAGGCATAAAAAACTGCACAGCTTGAATATAAAAGATCATATCCATGTGAGGTATTAATATTTAGGATCTTGGAGATATTAAATCGACTCCTATAACTGGTTTGAACAATAACTGTTTGTTGTTCACTTTATTTTGTACATACGAGTTATTGAATACAAAAAATCCTTGACTTACGTGTTTTTGTCGTAATCACCTGGGAATTTTAAATTCCATAAAAACAAAATAAAAATAAGCAAATAAGTTATAACTTAGTTAAACAGCTATTTTAAAGTATACTTGTTAAGAAGACATAGGTCACAAAAAAGAATTGGACTGTGGGTGGGACTACATTATGTTTGTTGGGCGGCTTAGTCCAAAACTCGCCTTACAATCGATAATAACGAATGGAGATAAAAAGAACTAAATGGAGCTGAAGCAACGCCTGACCGCGGTAAACCTTTTTGTGGACCTATGCTATCTTTTATCAGGTACAACATAAAAAAAAATAACACAAATGAAGTTATTGCACAACGTAATGAGTCGCTAGCAACAATGAAACTATTCGTAGTGAGGTAGCTGGTCATAAAACGGCCAAACGTCCTTAGACAAAACTGCCTTTAACTTTTGGAGGTGGTCGAATTTGGTGTTTTTAATCTTCAGTCGTTCTTTGTGTAACTGCGTTAGAACCACATTCTCTGTTGGCTTTGTACGGGTAGTCCTCATCGGCAGTTCTTGATAAGGGTCGTCAAATTTCAATTTATAGAAGATTTTTCCAGTTGGGGAGTATTGCAGTGCTCGGAGATCCGTTACGGTAGGATCGTTAACCTTTCGTCCAGGTCTTATCGACTTATATACTTGCACGTTGTTATAATTAGTAAAAAAATCATGACCTTGATTCTTCACATATCCTTACATAGTCACTTGGTAGAACTATCTTTCTGTCAATTAGTTTTCTTTCTATTGTAGCATGCACACTATCACACTCCATTTGAGTGTGTCCCTTTATCAAGAACTTTTGCTCAATTGTGACATTCAAATCCATAGCCAAATGCAACAGTGCATTAGACATAATGGTGTTTCGGTTCTGATAAGTGCAACCATCCGAGTATATAATTATTGGTTTTTCACAATTAAAATGTTTCCTGATGTAATCTACAATAAATGAGGCAAACGTTGAGGCCTGTAAGTCACTACTAGTTTCATCAAACCAATAATAAGTACAGTCTCTCGTCGCTAAATTGTAGACGGTGAAATTGTGGACACATAGCTTGGTTTTGAAGTATGCCGTACTAGCCATCACTGATGGACACACTTTAACAGCTTGCAAATCCATTGTCAGAACGTGTTGAGTACCTGTCAAAGCTTCCTCTTTATCTTTGCTTTTTTCCACTCTTGCCCGCTCTTTTTCAGCTTGATGTATTTTCCAAGTTTCTTCAGATATGTTTTTCTCTTCATATTGACAGCAGATGTCACAAGCATCCTTTTTGGGCTGATACAACGCAATATTCAGTTTCTTCACTATCTTAGTAAGGGAATTTTGGCTCATGGGCTTTTCATTCGACTTCTCACAATGTTGAACATAAGCCTGGTAAAGACTCGTAATGTTTCTGAACGACTGTTCTAAGTATAATTTTTTTGAGTCCTTACGACAATAGTGCGACGGCAATTTGTTTAAGTTATTTAAAAATTGCTTCATAAAAACATTAGATTGCCGATTTGACAATATCCCTCCTATTTCTCTCCTTTCTGGTTTTTTATCATGAATTCCGTGTTCACTCTTACATACCCAATGAAGTACTTGCCATTCTCTCAGTCCAAATGTTGAAAGAAACATTTTCTTACACACAGGCATATTCACCGAGCCTACCTTCAAATGATATTTCAATGTACCAGTGCGTCTAGATTCCAAATTCATCATGTTTCTTTTATCCTTGACTGGTATCTTCATGACCAAGCTTGCCACATAGGTTTTTCTCTGCTCCCAGTTTAAATCAGACCAGAATTTTTTGAAAATATCTTGGCGTATACTTTCATCAACCTCATTGCATTTTCTTTTTGATGACTTAATACAAAATTGTGACGAACATCCTAAAGATTGTTTTCTCGGTTCCCTTTGTGCATCGTGAAACGTGTTCGTTTGATTTTTTGGCCTTCTGTAGCCTATGTATTGCTTTCCTTTCATTCGAAGATCTTGATTGATTTTTTTTAAGTGTCCACCAGCTAAGCGTTTTCGTGGTTGTGCCTGTACTTCCTCGTCGCTGAAACTATTTTCACGATATTTCGTGACTTTTGACTGTATTTCACTATCTTTTTAGAGTACTGAAACTTCGAGTCCTGCATTTTCAGCTGCTGCCTCAACACCTGGAGTTTGATTTTGAACGATATCTGAACACTCGAATTCTGGATCTGCAAAGTTTGTAGCTTCAGATAGTCCTTCGACTTCTGAAACTTCTCCGTGAACAATTTCCATATTGTCAAACTCCGGAACTGCTAGACTTGTAGTTTCAACTGATTCTAGAATTTCTGCATCAATCATACCAAACGTTTCTATAAAACTCTCGTTGACTATGTCTACTGGTAGATCTAAGATATTGAAGTTTTCTTTTTCGCTGATATCCGGAGTAGTAATAGTGACATTGTCTTTTTTGCTAGACATATACCCCACTGGTACTTTATGTGGTGTGTTGTTACACAATTCCAGTATACGTTTACTCCGGGAGCTCATATTGTATCATTCTGTAATTGAAAACAATACCACGTAAGTCATATATTCCGGAACACAAATTCATTATTATATCATGTACAATAGCTCGTAAGTCAAGCGTCTGTTTTACCAACGAATATTACTGAATAGGCACCAACTATTTTAAAAATTTTTAGTTCTCAGCTATCTAATAAGTTTTCTGACAAAGTATGACATTCTGTAGTTTTATTTTACACATGCATATACAGTATTGCAACAAACTTACCAGCACATTCACGCTATACAGCAAACTTAACCTAGAATATAGGAGATATACGCGCTATTGAATCTATTTTTCATCGCTCCGATTTACGTGGTATTGTTTTATGTATTTATGCAACCAAACTAGCAGCTATATACGGCTCACTGTCTAACTGTAGCTAGGGAAGACTTACAGGAATCAGAAGCGATCAAAATAAGAAAATCGGCATTTTCGGACTTACGAGGTATTGATTTGAGGTCGTCGTAATACTTTAACGCTATGTCTGCCCCACCAGCTTCCGTTTTGCTAGCACCAATCAAACCTTCTGGTGCTTCATGGTTCTAGGCATTTTGCTAGCACTCTCATACCGTTCCTTCACCCCAATTTATAGATAGTTTTATGCTGGTGCGCAGTACCTATGGTCGATTTTCAACGCACATGGGTCAGATATGAGTTGATTGTTTGAACGAACTGGGTTGTATGTTGCGAAATAATATGCCAAACAATAACTGGGGAGATGAGTATTTCTAAGAAGGAGAGGGTACTTGTAAAATAAGTCCCGTCTAAAATAATTCTGCAAGAATGTAGTTCACATCATCCTGATAAAATACTTATTAGCACAATGCAGGGTAAATGAATCTTTAACCTGGATATTAAGAAAAATTACATTTGCCGAACATTTTACATTTTTTAGCACTAATAATTTTCTCTCAATTTTCTGTGTTTTGCTTATCCCAAAACAGAATGATGTTATTTGCATTAAATTCTCATAACAGACATATATTCCTCTACAACAGTTTTAATTACGATTGGAGGAGGGCGCAATATGTAAGTAGCTTTAACATATTTTTTCGTTTTTTATAGTATATTGATTTGACTTACCACACCTGTAAAAACAATTTCTAAGAATGATTTATTTATTTTTTCTCGATCTTTGCTGGTCTTTTTAGGAAATCCTGATTTTCCATAGTCCAAGTTTTTATGAAAATAGAGATCTATGTATATCTCATAAGAGCGTCTTGCCAAACTTCATTCGCGAAAATCATTGTTACAGTACATGAAATGAAACATTAAAACATTTTTTGATCATCATTTGGATTATGTAATTGAACATAACGTTTTCAGAATATCCATAACATGGATATGTTGCTTAGTATAAAGAGTACATATAATTATTTTTTCAATTCCCTTTAGTTGTGTTATGGAACATTCTGGAAGTAAGTTATTAGCATTATTATTTTAGAAAATTTACATGCAAGTACAACTGTTGACTGTAGTTGTCATATTTCAATTTGTCTCTAAGTTGTAGAATAACCAGAGAATGAGTAGTGTTCTATAACCTTTTTGACACCATTTGACGTCTCTTTTGACGTTTTCTAAATGAGTTTGTGAATGCATCCATTTTCAGCCAAATGGCTTTCTAATATCATTAAAGGCCTTGTTTTTCAATCGTAAGTACACTCGCAAAGTTAGTAGACCTGGGAAAAGCCTCCTCATGTAGATTGATCCACAATAAAAAACTGAATACCTGCTAGGGCAAACCTGATATTTTTAGCAGTGATATTGCAGTGAACCTGCAATTGAAAAACCGGACTAATATAACATCTGATACTGATTCTGTGATTTTCATGTCGATGATCCCCTACCAAACCATATGTGTTTAAAATTTTTCTTTATTGTATAGCACGTTTCACTCACAAAGCTGACCTTCTTCACCACATTGACACTTTTTTGACAATATTTTATTTACCTGTTTTCCAAGTGAAACTTCGTTTGTTTTTCTTTTCATGTTCATATTCCTAAACAGTGTGTTACTACAATAGTCCGAAAGATCTGTAATATGCTGAGATTACGAAGCCATCATTCAAATTTTAAGATGGCACCTCGCAAAACCATCATAGCTCAAGAGCGCCTGGGGTAGGCATTCAAAAGGACGTCCAGCCCTCTGGAACGACAAGCGAGCATGAGGTTATTTGTCTTTTTTATTACCCCAGATATGCCTCCCCTGTCCATCGTTCCGAAAACGCCAAAAGCCCTCAAAAAATGTATGGAACTTGATCTGTTTGTCATTTAACCTGATATTTTCATATCATCTAACTTCTTTTGTACATTGTGAAATCTTACTACATCAGAGTTTAAAAATAATTTATTTTGTGCAAACCATTTTTCAAGATGCTTCAAAGTATTACATTTAGTGACCAATACGTATCGTGATGATCTGAAATTATACTTGCATACAAGGTAAAATTCTTTCAAGCAGATCATTTATATTCAGCATAAATGAAGAGGCCCTTTTATAGATCCTTGGGGAACTCCCATATCAATATCAACGGATGAAGACCGGTCTTGCTTTATTTCTGTACCATAAGTGTGTAATAAAGAAACATATTGTGACGTATTTAGTCGTTTCCGGAATTTTCGCACTTTTTCTCCCGGGGAGCGACTCTTCACGTTTCAATATTTTCGTAAAAAATCATTAGAAGATACCCCAATAATTTCATGTTTTTCTTGTCTCGAGATTGACCTCTGACTCGGTGTTTACTGATTGATAGCTACTTTCGGCAGTTGTATATCTGCATATTTCGTAGCGAGACTGACATATTTATATTAATGATTAGTTTAACTTGTTTGAAAGTTTACTACCGTATTTTTCGTTTTTGAAAGGGGGGTTATTATACATAAATAAATATGTATATGTGGTATATATTTTAACTTCTACGGAGATATAACTTCCATTGATATTATTATGTCTATTGCATAGTGCATTACTTTAGTAATCTTGCATAATCACGGCCAGAAATGACGCGTTACTTTTTAATTTTTTAAAGAAATAGCTTTAGCGAATTGTTTTTTTAAAACGTTCATTATAGCATTCTCAGTTTGAAAAGAACAGTATCTAGTTTGATATTTTATCTGTAGTGACTGAGATGGATTGAAATATTGAAATTCGCTACAGTTAAAGCAAAGAGAATTGAATGTTGCTTAATTAGTAGTGTTCAATTTTATTTTATAATTACAGAATCTTACTATTCAATTTCATTTTTTATCAAATGTTGCTATTCTTTTTTGACTAAGATTGCTTAACAATGATAATTTAAACGCTAAGTGGAGATCAGATTATACGCATTTGAGTATTGAGCATATTCTCATAGGTTGACTGTACATTTTTGAGAATTTTTGAAGAAAGATCACCGATTGTTCCACAATGCTAGCGACCTTGTGCAATGAGCGATGGACCGCTGGTTTCTCAATCTGGCAAAATGAAGTTAAAATGCAGCTGCATTGACACTGACAGACATAACATACTGTCCGTTTCTCTCTTCCTCTCTCTCTCAAATTACCATTAGTTCAAGACGCGAAGACTAGAAATAGAGGTTAAACTCATAGAGTCAAGTAAAAAATGTGGACTATGAAGTAAGTTATTACACTATGTAGGAAATGAATTTCAGGTCCTGTGCATAAGGCACCATTCTCTCTCATGAATATACTGCGCAGAAAATGAATTTCAGGATCTGCGCATGTGGCATGTCTCTTTGTTACTGTCATCATGCCCAACAAGTTCAATTTTAACAGTTGCAAGTAGAACTATTGGATAACATTAATAAACGTACAAAGCATGTCAAAAGCAAATGAAATGCGCATAAAGATTGCCGCAGGCTATGTTGACGTTTTTCAATGTCCAGACGCTCTACACAATGTTCTATGTCCACTACATTTCCGAGAGCTACACCATCCTTGGGGACAGGATTGGCTTTATATGAATACGTATTTCCCTTACCCAATTTAACCTCCTACATCTAGTCTTCGTGGTTCGAGACAAAGGCAGCATTGATCAATTTTGGTCTCGCTAGGCGGCACTAGTGTGATTGGAGGTCAAAATGTGAAGTTTTGATATCCATTGACGTGGCGCTGATCAGCATTGACATCTTCGTTTATGACCAACCAACTTAACTAACGCCATCTTCTACCTTTTCAGATTACCCCATTCAGGTTGGCCTCCAAAGTTACATTATTTTCTGTCACACTAACAAAAACATGCATGCCTACAAATGTACACATATACGAATAAATTAAATAAGGCTAGGAATGTTATTTTCGAGTGCGGGATTCGAATACTTTTGTCATGTTGCCAGTTGTATTTTTCTTCGTATAAAAGTTCCATACCAGCACTCCGGCTGCCATTGTACAGGGCCAATTTTGCATATAATTTGGTCTCTAGTAATAAGTATATTCCAGATATTTTTTATTAAACGGTGCAAGGTCATTTACATTTCGCAAGGATCGCCTAGTCTTTATATCCACTGATCCTGATCTCACTCATACCATTTCTGTTTCATCCATCGTTCTTCACCAGCAAAAGACATGTACATGTATGTGGTGTTTTAGGTTTTAACTAAGTCTGTTTTAGCAAGTAGACGTTTTTAATATGTTTTTACTGCCATTCTTTTGTTCATATCTATTGTAAATATATTATTATATTTGATCTTGCTTTTTGTTTACGTCTCCCTATACATACAGATTCTATAAACGGGCTGTGATATAATTACGGATTGCAGATGAAGAATACATAGGAGTTATTCAATTGAAAAGGGTACCGGGGAAAAAACGGCATTAGTCCATTATTTGGCTAAATTGAGCTTTCACTTTATTCTGGTGGCATTTTCCTGTTGCTATCTTGTAATCAGGTTCACAAAACAACAGCTATAAGATTCCCTGTGCCGTGGAAGAATGGCATGAGTCCCTGCGCGTGTATGGAAAAACGGCATCAGTCCATATGGAAAGGCGGCGTTGCATTGGCCGTACCACGTGGGCGCTTCGTTATTGCCATTAGTTTACTATTAGAGTCCACGTGTCTTGTATACGCTGATATTTTGAATATTGAGTATATTCGATTATTTAGTTTATATTACGGGTTTGGTGTATAATGGATAGTGACTATTCAGTTTCAAGTGAGAATGAACCAGGCCCATCAAACAGAGAAACGCAAAAAAGCAGGAAGACAAAGAGTCTTAATGAAAACGTTTCGCGTCACTACCCACGAACCTGGATCTGGCTGTTTTTGTGAACGTCCTGAACCTGAACGCTGTAGACTTCTTCGTGAATTTAATGAACTAGGAAACACTAATGCACAAAACGCTTATCTTAGTGGTCTGTTCTTCCTGTCATGCGTAGACGCCCTCGAAAAAATGAAGCACAGACAAGGCTTAATAATGCTTCATTCAGTTATCGTGTCCGATTGATTAAAAATGGAATTATACGTGATGTTCCAGTTTGTTTTAAGGCTTTTTTGTCTTCACACGGAATTACTGTTTGTCGAGTTCGGTACATAAGAGACTCATTAGTTGCAACGACATGTGTAGAAAACACAACACACGATTTCAAAAACTTTCAGAAAAACAAAACAGAAAGTGACCGAGTTTATTAAGAGCCTCAAATGCCGCAAATTTCATTATTCTTTGACAGATTCGCAAAAAGTTTACCTACCTGAAAATCTAAATATCGCAAAATTACACAGAATGTATTCTATTGGCAATATTGAAAACAAGATTTCCTATGAATCCTTCCGAGAAATCTTTGAGAACAACTTCAATATATCGTTCGGTTATCCACGAAAAGATACTTGTAGTACGTGTGATTCCTTAAAAGCTGATATATCTTCACTTACCGCTACCTTAAATTCCCATACGGAACAAACTAGTCAGTCAGCAAGTAATAATTTGGAGAAAAAGATACTACATCAAAAAAGGAGTGAACGATTTTACAGTCTAAAGAGAACTTACCGCAAACATGCCTCGAAGTTCCCCGCTACCGAAAGTGTCACGATGGATTATCAAAAAAACTTGCCCTGTCCAAATATTACGACAAATGATGTTTACTATAAGGCAACTAAATTTCATCCACATTCTGTCAAAATCAAATTATATCTTTTATACCCACGATGAATCTGTTGCTAAGAAAGGAGCAGACGATGTCTGTTCTATGCTGTATCACTTTTTTTATAACATGCTGCCTATGGAAGTAAAAGAACTTGCCATTTTCTATGACTCAGGGCAAAATAAAAACTTTACAGCTATTCGGTTTTTGCATTAATTGGTTACCAACAAAAATCGTTTTGCTACTGTGAAAGTAATATTCCCGATCAGGGGACATTCATACCTCGAGTGTGATAGAGATATTTGAGTCTCGTGAACCAAAGAGCAGACACTGAGGTACCGGACGACTGGAGAGATGAATTGAAAAATTGCCGTGTGAAACCTACAAGATTTGAAGTCATTGATTGTGGCACAAATTTTGATTTTCAAGATTGGAGTACGTTTTTATCGCGGTTTTATCCAATGAAGTGCCCCTTTCCAACCCGAGCAGTCAGGATCAACAGGATCATCGCGTAGTTTTTCACAAATCGACATACATGGGCCTATATGCTAGCTCTAAATTTGATAAGGAAATTCGGAAGAATCTAAAAAAGACGCAAAAAGATCAACAAAAACGAGAAGAGGAAACATTGAGAAAACTTTACCAGGGGTCAATCCCAATTAAAAGTAAGTAATGGAATTATCTGACCAAATTTCTAGAGAGAGCAGCTTCCAGGGCATTTTATCAACAGTTTATATCTTTTGATCATCCAGAAGACAGCAGTGATAAATATGTCGATGACCCGCCAATAGACGCTTAAAGCAGGGAAAAAGTGGCACGAGTCCAGAGTTGAACAGCATCGTTTGTTGGTCATTTTGTAAAATCTATAAATATACTGTTTAGCAAAGATATTCTTTACGACTTATTTTTTCATCAATTTTACTTTCCAACAAGTAAGTAAATCTTAATTACCGATTTTCTCAAAATCAGTCCGAATGCACTATTGTCGTTATTCCCCGGTACCCTTCAATTACTTCCTACGCTACTGGCGAGCAAGTTTGTAATCGCGAAAGTGAGATATTGTTGTATGATATGTACAACACGAAAAACCATGACCGTCGTTCTGCCTGTCCGCTAATCCTTGAGCCCATTATAACTTAGAAAGTACACAAGGCTACTACTATGCCAAGGACAAAAAAGCTTTATAGTTTTTGAAAATCGATGCAGTGGCGGCGGAACTAGGGTCAATTAAATAAAAATCACGCAAACTTCGTTTTTTTTTGACGTTATAGATGATGCTGACCATTTTTTAAAACTTTTAGGGGTTAAAAAATTGCTTGTGGAGAGTTGTAGGGGGTGGGGGAGGGTATATCTACAATTTTTTGACGGTATACTTATATGACTCAAGACGGGGTATTTTTTTTCGCACCTATTAGACAATTCTCACTCATCATAATGTACATTTATCGAACTTAGAACGTTGGAGAAATATGTCAGACCCTCGCGTGTCGATAATACGTGCTTCGCGGTCCGGCCAATGCATGGGGGTAGTAGTCGGCCATCGCTGCTCGATCATGTGCGCCCGAAGGAATTTTGTCAGGGGAAGGGGGAGGGCCATCCGTCGGCATATACAGGGTGTTTCAGTTTATTGTTGCATAATTTTAGGATTCGATAGAACTTTTAAAATTAATGCATAGAGTCTGTATAAACATGGGTCGAAAAATGCGTGGCTTCTGAAATACAGGGTGTTTAAATTTACTTTCTAAAATAGTTTTTTTTTTAAATATTTCGAACAATATTTGATGTACCTATAACAGTGAAAATTGGTATACAAGGGTTTTTTGGTACGACAAAACGAACCATGGGCATAGTTTTACTGTAGCCGCTAGAGGGCGCTCTCTACTGTACCTGTAGTGTATTAAAATGACCGAAAATTTTTTCTTGGTGCAATTTTTTGCTATTTGAATGAAAAAACTGATTCTTTGCACTTTTCAACATAAAAAAGCTCTCTTGTGAATTTTCGTTATAGTTAGCCGTTTTTGAGATATTTCGATTTTTAAGGTTCGATGCATTTTTAATTATTTATGATAAAATAACGTTAAAAAGTCAGTATCTCGATAATTTTTAGAAGTAGGATGAGCCTGCAAATATTTTTGAAATTGAAAGCAGAATAAGGTTAAACGTCAATTAGTTGACAGTTAGTTTTGTTGTCTGTTGAAACCTGAAACGTTTTTTTGCAATTGTGAATGCACGAAATTTAGTTTCTTTTACCTGTTTGTTTTTGTAAGTTTTATAAAAATGCCATTTTTATTCTCCAATCAAGAGTTAGCGGATATTCATTTTGTGAATGGCTTTGTAAATGGAAACGCAGCAGAAGCAGCCAGAGAAGATTTCCAAACAGACGACATCCAACTCGCTCAGTATTTGTAAGAGTGCATAGAGATCCGACCACAAGTGTTAGGAGAGTTTCTGGTGCCATGTTCACCGTGTTCTTAGAAATGACCATAGACGTCCTTACCATTTGCAACCTGTGCAAGGACTACGGCCAGGGGACGGAGAACGAAGAATCACATTTTGTCAGTGGATTCTTGATAGAACTGATAATAATAGGGAGTTTTTAAGTAACGTTTTATGGACCGATGAGTCATGCTTCACTAGACGTGGAGTGGTAAATTTTCTTAATCAACATATTTGGTCGCATGAAAATCCGCATGCAGTTCGGGAAAGAAATTTTCAGCATGAATTTAGTGTGAACGTGTGGATTGGTATCTACCGTAATCGACTATTTGGACCCTACCTTTTGCCTGCAAGGTTAAATGCTGCGACCTTCTTGGAATTTTTAAAGGCTGAACATGCAAATATGTGGGATGATGTTATGTTAGATTTAAGAAGATTGGCCTGGTTCCATCTTGATGGTTGTCCAGCTCATTATCCGAGAATAGTTAGAAACTGGCTGGACGAAAATTATCCAGAAAGATGGATCGTCCGTGGAGGACCAGTCGCCTGGCCTCCACGATCCCCTGACCTAAATCCATTAGATTTCTTTGTGTGGGGATTTCTAAAAGAAAAAGTGTACCAGACTCCCGTAACCACAAGAGATATGCTAATAGACAGAATCAGGAATGCATGTGATGAAATAAGGCCTTATTTGAATAATGCTATACCACGTTCGATCATTCATAGATGTGAATTGTGTATTGAACAATTGGGTTTACATTTCGTGCAACCACTTTAGACTTTGTATGTTTGTCCTAACTATCCAATAGCATTTTAGTTGTAAATAATTAATTCAATTTGTTAAAAATAATATTGGAAAATTAAACAAATTAATATTGTTTTTTTGTGTTTATTTGGAGTTAGGAATTATTGCTGTGTTTAAAAACACAATCTAAACGATCATCTTAATTACTTGTAATGCCCAAATCGAAAATGTAAAAAAATATTATTTTCCCATAATAAAAATAATTAAAAATGCATCGAACCTTAAAAATCGAAATATCTCAAAAACGGCTAACTATAACGAAAACTCACAGGAGAGCTTTTTTATGTTGAAAAGTGCGAAGAATCAGATTTTTTTATTCAAAAAG